TTGCCCGCGTGTGCAGAGAAAATGGGGAGAGGCTACTTAGGATCCACGGGTAAAAAGAACTGTAATAGCCACTCATGGTACATTACAACAGTGTTTATGGTCAATTTTACGCCTGAACTGCAGCATTTGTTACATCACAGTTGATGCTACATCCCTGCTCTGCCTTATGCTACGACCCATGAACAACTGTAGTAACCAGGGAGGTTATGGAGGTGTAGTAGGGCTGCAGCCTCAGCAGCACTGGCACCAGAGCCACCTGTCAGAGAAACAGCTTGCTAGTTTTAAGCGGGATCTGTTACGGCCCAGCTAGCAGTACAAAAACAGGTCACCTGAGCCCTGGCTTCTCCTCCCAGCTGAGATGCCATGTGACTGGACTGGGCTCCGGAACCATTCAGCTTTCTCTCTGAGTCTCTCGAGACATGGGCAATACACATGTGAGATGACTGGAGACCAGGAAACAACTACACTGTCCCACATGGTGAGGTGTATCTACACAGACATACACTTAAGTTACACTCAAGCACTACCGTTTTAGAGATATGATGTTTGTTTCTGTAAATAAGAAAGAAAGAAAAAAAAAAAAGTTGCAAATAAACCTTTTTATATGTGGTCCATCAATATCCTTTTCTGGCTTCTTTTTCTGTCTCCATCAAACATACAAAAATAATGGACAGTTCTGTACCAAGTACGTGATTTTTGGGAGTACACGTTTCCCAGTGTGTCTTGGGATTTAGGTAATGAAAGATTTGTATCACCTGAGACTGCCCTGAATCTACGCTGCTAGCCAGTGTGCCCTGTCTCTAAGGCAGAGAAAGAGGGGCACTACACATCGACTATCCATCCCAGCACAACAAAGAGAACCTGTACTGCACACAGCCGTAAGGCACACTCTGATCCAATTGGGTATTTAACATTTCATGTTCTGATACAACACAGACAAGAGAAAAATAATTAGAAACCGAACAGAGGTCTTGGCTTCTTTATAAGGATGGCTTGGGATTTGGTCTAGTAAGTAGGAGAACATAATTAGACCCAACAGGGCTCTTACACACATTAGCTGAAACCTTTGAACTTTATTACATGTCTTGAAATTGACTCAAACTACTTGCTTATTTCCCCCATCCACACTTTGATTCTCTGCAAAGGGGAAGATGGTCAAAGCTGTTAAAAAAAAACAGCCACCTTTCCAACTGTTCCTGCAAAACTATAAAGACAGTCAAATGGTGAAGAATTTGTGGAAGGAGATAGCACAGTTATTGACAGGAGGGAGTATACCTCGGCTGGACAGAGATGCGTTCTCTAAGTTCTCTAAACATTGTGCACCGTCTGTTGAAAATGGTGGTGGTCTCCTTGTGATGAATTTACAAATGCTAAATGCCGTTTACTGTCTCAGGCTGAATAATAAAAATGTCTGTCATTGTTAGGGAAGCAAAAATATTTACAGGGACGGAAGAGGGGCAAGTTCTGCGCTGCAGTTTGTTGTTGAGAATAAAACATCTGTGCAGAGAAGAACGCCTTACCACTACGTCAGCAAGAGCAGACTTCTCCACTTCTCTCAGAGTATGCATCCAGCTCAACACTCTACAACTGCACAAACACTGAAAGGGCTGTAATGGGCACAGTGATGAGCTACAAAACTGTTTACAGGTCTTATCTTGTTGGAGTTAGAAAACAAATTAAATACAAAAAAAACTGTGATATGTGGTGCCCAGGTACAATTATAAAACGGAAAGCATTTTACACTATCAGGAGTAAAATAATACAAATATTTATTGTCAAGGAAAGGGCATCTAGGTGTAAATGACCACACTTAACCTCACGAGGAATAGAGTACAAGAGGACGAGCATAACTGCTTAGTAACATAGTTTTAATATGCTTACTTCCACTTTTTAAATCGTTAATATGTTACTATTCAGTGAGTCTATGTTTAACTTAAAATGTATGAAGAAAGTCAAAGATTATACTGTCACACTTTATAAATTAAGCCATCGACATTATATTTACATCAAAAGTACACAAACATGAGCTTATCAATGACTGATGTCAATGTATAAAATCAGGGCAGCTAATAGCCAATATCGAACACCATTTTTTTTGTCAATATGTATTTTACATTTAACAAAGTATAACCGTATGTTTAATTTATATAAACATATGCTTTTCAAATCTAATAAGAACATGCACACTTAAAACTAAGAGATTAAAGCAATCATACTGTATTTGCTCTCTCTCTTTGCAATTGGTTAATTATGCACCAGTTGATTTTTAAGGGTCAATATCGGTCTATAATTTAACATATACGAGATGAAATTGTGGCAGTTGGCTAAACTGGTGTGTGATAAATCACATACTACACTACTATACTATACATAAATATATTCTATATTTAGTGTACTATACTATACTGTCAAGACATTACTTACTTTATGCGCTTAATGTTTGTAAACAAACATCGGGCTATAATATTACTAAAGCTTCTCATCCTGTAATATTACATTAGCGATCAATACATATGACAACTGATCTAAAAAACCTCAAAAGATTTACATAGCATGTGTTTTTGTTTTAACAAACTTCATAATATCCTCATATTTCTAGCAGAAAAAATATATATATATATTTAATGGTTTTCCTTCTCCTAGATTGTGTGGTGGGAACAGCACAGCCAGATTAAATGAGTCTTCAGTGACAAAAACAGTCACACTCGAGCATAAAACCACAGGCAACAGCACAAGCCATGACGCATGTTACAGAGGAGCTTTGTAATCCGTTTTAGGAGGAAACCATCATCGTCAGTGACTATTACTCAAACCATTCATAAAGCGAGTTCCATCAAAGCGAGACCTAGACCGTTTTAACATTATTGTAAGCTGAGCTAAAAGTAAGGGGGGGAAATTATGTCGTGTAGTTGCTTCTTAGCGGGTATGTCGGCGCTGCAGTCAGTCCTGCCGATAGGGGTGTGGAGGGTACAACGTCGCTATTATGTTACCACAACACCCTGGTGCTGACGCCATTTTCAGAGCGCTTTTCTCAGGACGGCGAGTAGCCAGGGGAGCCTCGTCACAGGAAGAAACCCCCCCAAGAATGCATTTAATCAACTATTTCACACACTCTACTCCAAGTGTCACCCGATCGGTACAGTTTCTGTGTTGTTACCACTAGTCAATTCGATGAAAAGGCCGAGCATTACTAGCCTCCCGATATGCAGTGTTAGCTGTGTGTGTGTGTGGGGGGGGGGGGAAGCTACATGCAATGACACTCGGAGAAAAAGCGACACAAATCTGTCCCGACTGTTTTCTAACCGCTCAGGCGAAAGCAGAGACAGTCGAGCACGGTGAAGCAGAGTATATCGCAATTTTAGGCCCGCCGAGGCCAAAAATAACCCCCTCGGTATGCAACGTCCGAGCTAACGGAAGCTAGCAGCATAATGCGCAGCCGACAGGAGTGGATTAATGCCTGGGTCGTCAGAGACAGGAAAATGCGACACCAGCCTTGAGAGATAGCAACTCGGGGGAGGCAAAGTCTGCTGCACACTTATACGGTAATTCGTACCATGCTGGGTCAAACGGAACAATTCAGGGTGGCTGGGATTGCCAATAGGGTTACATTTTGAAGCAGGGCGATATGTCCAAATGGAAGTTCCCCTCCCCCACGGCTGCAGCATTTGATGCCAACACGCAGACTACAAGTAACCGTATTAACACAAGTTGGGACTTTTAGTGTAAGGTTAATTTTAGCTTCATCTTGATAGAATGCAACTTCATAATGCCTCATTGTTCCAAGACAACTAGTGTAGCAAGGCATTTAGGCTATTATTTTGACAACTGGCTTTGCTGCCTTGAACAGACTAAACATCTTCCGTTTCTGTTTACATGCATGAAGCTCGTTGTTCTCGGTCTTCAATCAGCTGCTCTGATATAAAAACTTCTCTTGACAGAAATGATAAGGTTGTGAGGCGAAGCAGCTCTCAGTGAAACACACAGCTTGCTTGATTTTGTAATATTTATATAACCTGCTTGGCTAAAGTAACAGTATTACAATAAACACAAGATATCCCTAAATGACCCAGTGAGTTCACTGACACTGTTAAGATTTTTTAAAATCCTATAAAGGAGCATAGTGTACGAAATTGTACAGCTTCAAGTTTAGTATGTGCATAAAGTGGGCGACAACTGTACGTTCAAACGCTTCTGTTGTGCAATAAATAGATAAGATCCACTAAATGAAGCAGATATAAGCTGTTTGCATCGTAACGTATAAGCAAAAACACTGCCCTCTGCTAATGTGGATATAGCGCGAATAATAATGAAATAGGAACAAAAAAAAAAAAAACGATTGGCCTTTTAAAACAACCTTCTTTTCTGCATGATCTATACAGATGAGAATAAAACTGTGCGCAATATGGCCCGCAGTGTCAGTATATAAAAAATGCAGTGACCTCCTGCTTCACATCTGCATGTGTCACGTTTGAAAATCGTTCATTCGTGTTGTATTTGCAAGAAGCTCGCAAGTGACAATTATCTGTTGTTTCTGAATGAAGACGTTACTGTGGACAGATCCATGTCAGGTTGCCCCTTGTTTAATTAGTGTTTGGGCTACTTTAACTCTGTCGATGACGGCCAGTCTAATCAGTAATACCTGCGTGATATTTACTCGATAACTTGAGCGGGATGATTACTGTATTAACCAGCAGAACGTCAGAACCCTATTTGGTCTGTGACAAGCTAATTTAGGCTAGTAGCATGCGCTAGTTAGCATGTTAGTGTCTTGATTTGCCAACTCTGGAACCTTTTACCGTTTAATTACTTGGTTCACCTTTAAGTAAAATAAATTTGAACAAGGAGAACAAGGCACAATTAGATCCTGACCTAACGGTGTTCGTTAGCAAGTTAAAACTCAGCAGACACTTCGTTAGCAGGTGGCTAACTAAAGACAACAATACCCCTCCAGGTTCGTTTACCGCTCACTCCATAATGTCCACTTGAAACAGTTTACTTACCGTTTTAAGTCCACTCTGGAAGATTTAAATAGCGAATAGGGGATCTGGGTAAGACCCCAGTCGCATCTTCCACAACCAAAACAATACTTCAGTCCACACACTGCGGATTCCCAGCCAATGTTTAAAACGGTTGCAATTTTTCGTGTTCTCTCGAGATGAACGAAAACAGCGAGGTTTTCGGTTTACGCGCACGTGAAAACGAAATAATTCTGAACCGTTAAAACTGAGCCCCAGTCAACGGCGAGTTTTAGAAATTAGATCCCCTCAAACCAGTCTCTTTTCCCTTTGCAAAAATGGCGGCCCTGCCAGGACTGCTGAGACTCCGCCTCCCCCACGAGCCTCCCCCCTCCCGTGCCATCTCTACGCGCGAGCTCCGCCTCCACACACTGCGGGGCTACACTCCCAGTTTGACAGGGGTAGTGTAGCGTGCCCGAGCGCCGAGCGTGTTCCCAAAACTTCCAAGATTGATGTCGCTTACACAAGAGGGGTTGCCAAATAAACACATTTTATTTTTTGGCATACAACAACAATGGCCATTTTGAACGAATAAATGATGGATTGCTTAAAGCATGAAATGTCAAATACTTAATTAACAGTCCATAATTGTACATAATGTCAAAAGTAACCTAAAGAAAAAGTGTCTAGAAAAAGTATATTCTAAAATGGGAAATGTAGCATTGTTGTATTTTATATTTATCGTTAAATATTAACATTGTGTAATAAGAACATTATACATGTAAGTAAGATGCTAATATTAATCAGAATAATCTAAATACAATTTTTATATGCATTATGGTAATTGATTTCTCGTGTGAAACTGTACATTTTGGACTGTTATGGCAAAATAAACAGTAAACACTAATACAATTAAATTATGAACAAATACCAGACCCTATTCAATATAATAACACTTATTTGTGGCAGCCCCAGTGAAGATGTGCATATGACTTTTGATTTTATTCTTTCAAAAATAAATCACAATGACAAGAGTCAACTTTTGATAAAATGCTCATATGTGTTTTAATGTTATATAGGGTGGCTTTTACACAAAGTACAAATATTTTAGCATTACTTCAACAGAGGTATGGTCCAGGTAAACTGGTTACTGTCATCTTTCTGGAAACATGATGGTAGAAATCCCTTTTGCATCATATCTAACGGGAGGATGGTCTCATCCTTTCCATTTGCTGACCCTCCCCCACCCTAAAACTGCGTCTCGATCGCGCATGCGCATTTTCCCCTCCCCTTAACAGAACACCCGCAACTGTTAGTGCTCGCGCACACTTTGGAGACGACGGAGATATAAAAACGTTTGGTTGAAGTCGAACCATTCAGGTGTTTTTTGTTTGTTTTTGTTTTTAAACGGAAATGTTCCGCTGTTGAGGATACTTCCATCACTGTCGAATGACTGGAACAGTAAACATTTGTCTTTGACCGTGCGCCCATCATGATTGCGCTTTGAAGAAAATATTTTGATGTTATAATATGGGACACGGTGGGTGAGCCGCGATTGTCCAAAAGTTAGAGGTGAAGGTGGTCATTTTTGAGAAATGGCTGGTTTGCGATGACATCATGCAGTTAGTATTTGTGGGCGGGTTCTGAGCTGTGAGGGGAGAGGGGCGCAACCGGAGAGCAACGGCCAGGCGCCATTAGGTAACAACGTTAAATTAGCGCCTGTGTTTTAAAACGAGGGAACCAGTTGTCTACAAGTTTACTACCGGTGGAGATGAGGTGTACGCTGGGCACATCGCAGAAAATAAATTATACTTTCCGAGTCGTACAATGGTAGCTTCCTTTTCATGAGGTGAAATTGGTTGTCGACTGGAAACAAGATGGCGTCGAGGATTATTTTTTTTTTTCGCTGTTTGGGCGGCGGCGTTGTGCGCGTTCACGCCACAATGTTATTTCCTGTTTTCGTATCCTGAATAGTTCTTTACTTTCAACAAGCACAAAACGAGAGGGAGACCCGAGTTCTTGTAATATATATATATTTATATATGTATTTTTTTATTTGATTTGCGTGTTTGAGATGGTGAAAGTAAATTGCCAACAAATGAGGGAAACCACCTCGTAAAGTCAGACATTCAGAACTTCAACATGTGAATGGTTGCACAAGCACCTGATTTTTCCATTTTACAAAAATAAAGGACACATCAGCCATGCTTTTCAAAATTAATGGATTTGTTCTACTTTGTCTCCATCTAGTGGTTAAAGTATATATTACCGCAGGTGTTTTTAAGCCTCGTAAATTCAAAACAATTTTTTGAAACTTGGACAATTTTGCATAGTCCCTTTATAATATTTAATTATATTTTGCTATTAGGATAGTAGACTAAAAAGTTGTGACTTTCTGCAAATACCTATATTTTCAATTAACTGAAAAGTCTATGAAGGTGACTGGGTCTAAAAACAAAGTTACATTAGTTACGTTTTTTGAGGGAAACTGGACCACAGAGAATATTAAACTTTTTAGTTACTAGTGCGCATGCGTATAATCAACCAGCCGCAAATACAGTCAACCATTTCCGGTACTCAAGGTCGTGTTTTTACTCTGATCTTTTGGGCCTTTGTATATACAAATGCGATTATAAATTATATTATTGTATTGGTATTGTACGTTGTGTATTAGTGCTTAGTGTATTTGTAGTTGATGTTTTTCTTAGTTCATATCTTAGATGTCATTATTGTTTTTCTTTTACATTTTATTGTTGGATGTAACTGGGATCCTGCGTCCATAAATTCAATAAAGAATCTCTGACTTGTGACAGCTGCTATGTGTAATGTTGCCAGATGTCGGACTGCAGAGCACACCTGTAACAGGTATACTATATCATACCACTTTCTTTATAAAGCACTTAAAAACAGCAACAGGGCCAACAAAAGTGCTGTACAGCAAAAGTACATAGTAAAAAATACATAGATCCACAGAGGTAAAGATAAATTAATACAGACAAGTTAAAATCAACTCACACAGGGTCAAAAGCCAGGGAATAAAAGTGTGTTTTTAAAATTGAACACTGTTTTAGACCATATATACGGTCATATATCGACTTTACTTGATTGGATAGATTGTATTTCAACGAAAGTGAATTAGGCGTGTAATGCAAATACTTTGGGCATGCGCATTAAACTGAAAAAGTCAATTGAGTTTAATGGGTTGGAAAAATCCTCATACCCGTTAAAATAGAAAAAAAAAAATCCAAGTAACCTAATTTTGGAATTGGATATTAGGGAAAACCATCACGTGAAGCTGAAACAACAAGACTCATTGAAGTTGAACATGTTGCACAAGCAGTTCTCCATCAGCCCAGAGGGGGCGCTGTGACGAATGGGTTGAACAAACAAAGCTAAACGCTTCCTGTCCCATCACGGCTAAGGTGGTCGAGAGAAGGTGACTTTTATGGGTTTGGTGCGGTGCTTCGCCCAAATCCAAGCATAACAGCCAAAAGACGGGGTTTTGTTGAATAAACAACTATGTCCTCTTTTGGACGGGCCTTCGCTGTCCTTCGGACGGGGACTCTGCTGCTCAGGCGCGGCCCAGGAAGAATACTGCGGAGAAAGTGAGTTCGTTAGCATTAGCATCTCCGCTACAACAACATTTGCTGTAATGCTTGGATAAATGGAATAAACGTGATAAATATTACTAAAGCGAATACATATATACATACAAATGTTAGTTCTCATTCAGTCTCATGCAACTTTGTTTTTATTGTTTCAGAGCTAGCGACGGACCTCATATTGAACCACGGTACAGACAATATCCACAGCTGACGAAGAAACAAAAGTTTGATGCGGAGTTTCTCAGTTCCTTCATGTGGTTTTGGATCCTTTGGCATTTCTGGCACGACCCAGACGCAGTGTTTGTGAGTAATACTTGTATGCTTGCTAGAAAGTTAAGGTATATAACCAGCGCCTGGCTTTGTCCTTGTAAAAGATTGAAAACATGTTAAGTTAATTTAAAATGGAAGTTAGATCTGTGTTGGAAATGCAGTTCAGACTCAGAGTTTAGGAGTGAAACTTCATATTCATAAGACCTTTCACCTCTGAAAAATACATTACTGTACAAACTTGTGTAGCTTCAGTCAACATGGCAGAATTTTTTGTATATTGCCGTGGTTCACCAGTTATCAAAATAAATGAAAAGAGATCAATAAAACTTGTTAAATCTGTCTGTAGGGTCACTTCCCCTGGCCAGATGCCTCTCAATGGACAGATGAAGAGCTTGGTATCCCACCAGATAAAGAATAAGGTGATCTTTTCACTTTCAGTATCAAAAATACTGGTGCATGTACCAGCCATCATAATTAACAGTCTAGCATAACATTTAGGTTTAACAGCAATAATTTTCTAATGGCATCAAGAAAAATGACTTTCAAACTGTACAATATTCCACTTTGACAGTAAATAATTTTCTCTTGTCTAATCAAAGGATTCATTTACAAGATTTGTTCAACTGCAGCCAAGGATTAAAACCAGGTTTAGTTTCAAGCTGAGATATTAACTATTTCCTTTATATTCAGCATTATGCAACAGGCTCCACGTCTCACTTGTCTCTGTAGAACCAGATTTCTTTAGATGGGGTTTTTAGCATTTGTTCTTGATTACTGATGGTGTTTTTTTGTTTGTTTGTTTTAACGGGACATGAGCCATTTTTAAACAGAGCTCCAAGATGAAAACATGGCATATCTTGGCATTCTAAAGGAAAAGAATATTAGATGATTGAAAGACGAAAAGTGCTTGAAAAAAAAAAAAAACTGCATTAGATGAATTACCAAACAAGTGTAAAGAGCAGAAACATCCAGGTTCAAGTATGTTAAGCTTTTAGGTAACAGTAATTGCACCCTCAAAATCACTTTAATAATTTTACATTTGTAAGACAGTTTAGACATTTTTGTTGTTCTTCCCTCATTTACAATTTAGGTTTTTGTGGGCAAACGAGTTCTGTTGAAATTTAAAGGGGGAAAGCTGTTGATATTGAAATAAACTTTGAAAGATATCCAGAAAATTTAGATAACCACTGATCAAGACAACTTTGAAAAAATAACTATATTTTGCTTCCAAAAAAAGTCTAAAGAGAAAAGAGCTTGCTCAGGACTTTTGCACGGTGTTGCAGCTCCCAGTTTAAGCTAAATAAAACCATTCTGGTTCAAGTGTTTCTGCATTGAACCTCTTTGAAGTTATGTTTAGTTTGACCATGTGTTTTCTTTTTTGCAGATGACCACATGGAGTCTTTGTGGAAATCTTACGGATTTTCTGAAAATTGTAATAAATGTATCTTCAAGTTAAACAGTCTGGTTTACTAAAAATAACGTGTTTTAAATTAAGACAAAAAGACCCATTTTATTACATCAGTTTTATTTACACAAATTTTGAAATGCAGTAACAAAATGCAACGCATCAACAGTGTCACAGTTAGCCAGTGTTTGCATTATCAAATTAAAAGCCATTTAAATCTGGAAAAATCGAGAACTGACAACACAAATGCTGAGAAAGTGTGTGTGTGTGTGTGTGGGGGGGGGGACAAATCATGTGCAGTGAATACTACAGCTTATAAGAAACCCTGCCTGCGGGCCAGCTTGTTTTACGATGACTTGGCATGCAAAAAGTTCACAAAGTCAAGTGTAGTGTAAGAAAAATAAAGCCAGGTAACTTACCCTAGCCCTGTGATTAACACCAACTTCATTAAAAAATAAAATTAAAAACTCATTAGGGCTGAGATATTGTTCACACAGTTACTCGCAGGTCAACCTGAGCAAAGCTTTCCAAAATTTGTTAGAAAAAAAAAAAAAAACGGTCTTAAAGCTACACGGCATTACCTCAGTGTAACCTCTGGTTGGTTTGATGTTTCAGAAGCAACACTGAGCAGAATGTGTGGGAAGTGTGAGGGACAATACCAAACTCCATTAGGCTGCAAGATACAATGACTAAACGAAAAAAAGCTTAAGCAGAGTGTATTTGTGCAATTTGAACGCATTAAAGGAAACAAACCTCAGCATTTTCAAAGCAGGAGGGAGATCCTTTAAGTCTCGAGCTGAGGGCGTCCTATCTGCATCCATGATGTGGCTGGTGGATAATCGAAGGTTATGTCCATGGCATCATTCCCTGAGAGTGAAGAACTGCGCACCCAGAGCAAAACACACATTTCACATCAGCACTGGCATAAAAAAACAAAAAATTACCCACTCATCCCATTAAAGTTCCTTATTATCGACTAACAACTCCTTTGGATCAACCGCAGCGGCTCAGATACGTTTAGCTTGTTTTTTTTTTTGCTAATTAAAGGTAAGTGGCACTAAACCAGAACACTCGGGTGTAGATTTAACCTAATCTGTTAACAGCTAAAAGTCGAGTACAAAAGAAATCCAGACCAAACTAGAACACAGGCTTCAAGTCAACTGGGGCAGGGAAGTTGTTTGTGACGATAATGGGTAAAAGTTTTGTAGGTGAACTACTCAACAGACCAAAACATCCACATTTACATAAAAACAAAACGATCTTAAAAATTACAAAAGAAGCCCCTAAAAGAGAAAATAAAAATTCCACAGAATAGCTGAGATTTCTGTCATTTCATAATAAAATTGATTCTTTCAATTAATAAATACACCAACGCACAAAAAACAGATAAAATGAGAAATAAATTAAACGGGACTCGTTTCAAAGTGAACGACTCGAATTCTATTGAACACAAATTCACAGAGAGGCAGCACTTTGAGCAACTTTGTAGCTCTAATTAACAACCTGGTGCAGACGAGAGTAATTCTGCACCAAATAGTGCAAAGTCCGCTACAGACTTGTCAGCAAACACGGTGCGTCTGAGCGCTGCCTCCCAATCTTCCCTCGCTCCTCAAAGTCATTGCTGGTGTGATTGAGATTAAAAAAAGGGAAGGAAAGAGGAAGGTGAGGGCTGAGAGAGAAGCATGAGTGGAGAAAAATACGAAACGATAAGCACCATTTGAAATATTAGTTCACTGCCTCCTTTTTCTTTTAATGTAGCACCGCATTTCCAGGTCAAAGGAACTTGAAGACCCTGTTGCAGTTGAGCTTCACCTGCTGCTTCGTCTTGTTCAGCTTGAAGCAAACAAGCAGGAGGGGCGAAAAACAAACAAACAAGCGTTCAGATGATCTTTTAAGTCCCTGTTGGATGAAGCATCTCTGTCTGGTGGACTTTGTCCCCGTTGAATGCCCTCAGAAGCTTCACGTTTCCCTTCGCTCCTTTTCATCCTGTTGTTCGTAGTGTGCTTGTTGTGAGGTTGTGCATTTGCTTTTTTCCACATCCAGTACCCTGTCTCCAAAGCATGCACAGTGAGCGTGTTTTACATGTTTGTTTACAGTCGTCTTCAGGCAGTGTGTCTATACCCCCCAACCCCTATTTTCAAATCACAAAAGTGATTAATAGCAAATATACAATTTTTTTCTTCTCCTGCTTCAAGTAAACCCTTTATAGTCAATTCTCCTTTAAGGTTTTCAGGATGAGGGGGTCACACGAAGACACGGCTGTGTCTGTTGAGTTTTAGGATCTTGCCCAGTCTCTGCTTAGCGGTGGCCATTCCTTTTTTAGGCCTTTTACCTGAAAAAAAAAAGTGACTAAATTAGTAACGTAACTATGGACAAAGTAAATAATCCAGATGCGCCTCCAATACAACTATCTCACCATTTGTTTATAATTGGCTACAATAACACAACTGCGACATATTTAAGTTTATTATTTTAAAGTAGGAGGAAATAAGGTTATTTTTCTTGCTGATAAATGAGTTTACTGTAAAATTACACACAAACGAGAATCGGTTCACTGCTCGCTCCGTGAAAAGATGTCAAATCTGTCTTTAGTCCTGTATTTCTCGGCCTAGAAGTCACTTTTTTATTTTTGCATAATTTGCATGCCCTGCGACTTCAACACAGAAGCAACTTATTTATGGATTTTTTTTCCCCATATTTATAAACCAGTTTTTGGATGAGACATGACCGTTTTCAGACTGAAAATATTGAACACTATCATTTTCAGCCGCTAGATGGCACTCGAGTTGTATGGCATGCCATTGTGTCATGTAATAGGTAAAAAGTGGCTATTAATCAGACACTTGGCTTGCCACTGAGGCCAAATTCGTCCAGCTCACCTGGAGCAACCGTCAAATCAGCTTCATTTTGCTGCGCAGCCCCGGTGAAATGCAGCTAATCTGATCAATGAAGTGCATTTATTAAGTAAAAGTTCAACTGACTCACCTTTACTATTATTTCAAGCAAACTTGTAATTGTTTTAAGTGTTAATCTTATTAAATTCTTGTTAAAATCCTCACATGCACACTCCCGCAGCCGGCATTTGGCAGCCAATCGATTTTTGGCACAACACCGGCCCACATTTCCAGGTTGTCAGCGGTGACGCGTAACAAACGCGACACGTCAGCGGTGACGCATAATAGATGCGACGTATACGGTGAAGCAACATATTTGTTTTTTCCACTTTATTAGACATATTTGGACGGATGCGACTTATAGGGCGGTGCGACGTGTACGGCAGGAAATATGGTAATCTGATTATTCCAACCTTTTGTGGCCTGGTTGCTGACAGGTGGAGGGTTGGGGGCATGCCTCTTTGAAGGGTGCAGTGGTGGGGACATTGAGGGGTCACAGTACTGGTAGTCCGTCTCTGGGCTGGGGAGCCCTTGATTGTCCCAGGTCTCACTGCTGCTGTTGCCCTGGCTGTCCATGGGGCTGTTGCCCCCCTGCAGTCTGTGCTGGTGCTGCGCCGACTCCTGCAGCGAGTGTTGGCTCGGACTGGACCACCAGGGCTCTCGGGGCGAGCGTCCCTCACCTGGCTTGGAGGAGCACAGCAGACCGGCCATAGACAGCATCCCCTGAATGGCCTCTTCTGTGCTGGGTGAGGTAGGACGTTCTCTGCAGGAGGCATTAACCCATCATCACCGACATCGCTTTAAAAACGTGCGCTGATTTGAACGTTTAGAGTGAGTTTTCCTCACCGTTTGAGTGGTTCGTGTTTGTGCCTGAGTTTCTGACCAGACTGGTCCAGCTCAATGATATGCCCTGAGCTTGTCTGCTGAGATGAGCCCCTCTCCTCCTCTTCCTCCTGGGAACTCTCGGAATCATCGTCCGACGACGAGGAGGAGGAGGACGACGACGACGATGATGCTTTTCGCTACATCAATAAAACAGTTAAAGGAGTTCCTTTAGTAATCACAGCAATCATCCTAGACATTATAAAAAATAATGATATGACCCAAAGACTGACTTTCATTCTAAGTTTGAATAGGGATCATACCGACAGCATTGGAATAATTTTTTTTTTTTTACTATTAAATACAACCACAATTCTGAAAAAAGTTGGGATATTGTGTAAAATGTTAATAAAAACAGAATACTATGATTGTGAATCTGATAAACCTGATATGAATTGTAGATGATGGGAAATTTAAAGTCTCCAAAATATTCTGTTCAGGAACATAAACTGCTCCTGAAATCGAAGATTTTGGGAAAAAAATGAAATTGAAGGCTGAAATTGTTCCAGTATAAAAATACTGGCGGGTATTTTATTTATTTATTAGCAAATTAGTCAAAATTAATTATTCAGCCTCTTTAAAATGCCATCAGTTCATGTTTACCATGTCCAATTGTGGATAAAATATGAGGTTATTTGTAATTTATGGGATTTTACATTGCATTCTGCTTATTTTTACATTTTTCACAATGCTTCAACTTTTTTCAGAACTGGGGTTGTAGTGGAACTAGAAAGTTCCTGGAGATACTTTGACGGGGACTGCCAGGCTGCTGCCAATTAAAATGGTTGATTTTACAGTACTGTGTGTTTGGGTTTGCCCTCAGCTACCAGTAAATTTGAGCTGAATGGCTCAAAAAATGGCTGAGTTATCTTTTTCGCTGAGGTGACCATCTTGGATTTTTAATTTTTAGTCGGTGTCTATTAGGGATCGTTCTCAGCTACCAATACGCCAAATTTCATCTGAATAGCTCTAAAAATGGCTGAGTTATGGTATTTTTTCTTTTTTTTAAATAAGGTGGCCATCTTGGGTTTTTGATTTGGATTCAGTATGTGATGGAGAACATTTGCAGCTGTAACCTCATCCAATTTCAGCTTTATATGTGTAAAAATGGCTGAGTTAAAGCCATTTAAAAGTAGCGTTGGTGACCATCTTGGATTTTTAATTTTCACAGGAAACATTGTCAGCAGTGCATAACTTCACAAGGCAAAGCTCTCCAATGCATTGCAATGGCAGTCCCCAATAACTTGATTTTACTTTATGCGTTTGTATGTATCAGATATGAAAAAAGTGTGATATAAATGCTGTAAATCATTTACGTCTGTGGGAGAATCGCTGTCTGACTCCACATCAGACACACTGGACTGTCCTGAGACGTCCTCCCTGAGTTCATTCTTCACCGACTCCAGGCCCCCTGGGACACAGAGGAGCAGACCATCAATTGAACATCTTTATAATTAACACTGATTATCGAGCTCAGACACCGACTTACTGAGGAGCGTGGGTTTCTCAGCTGCGCTGTGCTGCTCTCGACTGCCCTCCGTCTTCTCCAACTTCACAACCACACAACTTTTTAGAGGGCTGTGGCAACCAGACTGCTCGTCCTCCGTCTTTTCAGGACTGCTTCCTGGCTGCCTCAAATCTCTGCACATAACGGTAGATAATACATGTCAAAATTTAAACAAAAATGTCATTTCTTCTTTAATTTGTTGACAACTAGAATAAAAAAAGTTCTGTTGAAAAAAAAAACCATTCAACTGCAGTTCTTCAAGTTGTGTAAAGTCAAACATTTTCAGTTTGACTGTTATATTCTGCTTTAATTAGAAAAACACCAACGCGCTAACTAAAGAGAGTTTCACCTGATGATTCTTCCGTTGACCATCATGAGCCGAAGATGGTTGTCCTCCAGTGACTCGGCAACAGCTGCTGCCGATGCAGTTGACACTTTGTTAAACTTCCCATAAACCTTGGCACAGAAATCTGGATCCTAGAGGTTCAGAGTGGTAGTGAATCACCATGTTGCAGCTCACTTCCAAATCGTTATTATTCAACAGTTAATTCCGTAATAGAAAGTCTACAAAGCGTCACCTTATAGACAAAAGTATGTTGAAGCTCACCTCCCCCCGAGGGCCCACCTCCAGCCTCTTTAGCACGTCCCTGGTGTGCTGCTCCAAGATGTCCAGGTTGGACGGCACCTTGGGGGCCTGCCGCTCCTGCTCCCTCAGCCGCCTGGCGGCTCGTCTCGCTCGTCGCGCCTGGCACAGCCTCTCCAAGGAGCGAGTGGTGAGGCAGCCGTTCATTCCAGACGATATTCCACATCCCTGAGATTTCACTGGTTTACCACAGCTTAAAGGTTCCTCCTGGGATTGGGGGAGTCACAAACGTAAGGATCATCAAATAGTTATTGATTGAGGGCAAAGGATACTTTAACAATGTTTCTGTGGATTTACATTTACCTGGAAATATACATTAAAAATAAGTTTGTGCACAGGTAACACCAACAACTAAGTAGAAGAACTGGTACCACTTTGCAATAAGACTCCCCTTATAGATGGCTAATAGTTTATAGATACGTTATTAATTCCTCTATGAACACTTTATAAATCATTAATAACTGCTTATGCATTAATTAAGGGTGACAGAGCGACACAACTGACCAGTTTGTTGCCAAATCTGTTCACTTATATATTTCAGAGTTATTATATCAAACATCTCAGACTAAGTTACTACCTTGTGAGCACAATAAGCATTTGTAAACCTATTTCTTTAGCATATAATATTGTACTTTATCACTGCATTATAAGTATCTAAACTAATATTATATCTTAAATAGATTTACACATGCTTATTGTGCTTACAAGGTAGTCTGAAATGTTAAATATAACAACTCTAGATGAAATATAAAGGTGAACTGATTTGAATCACTATTTGGCAACAAACTGGTCACTTTTGTCTGTCACCCTTAATTAATGCATAATAAACAATTATTAATGATATATAAAGTGTTTATAGAGGAATTAATAACATATCTATAAACTATTTATTAGCCATCAATAAGGGCAGCCTTATTGTAAAGTGGTACTTAAGAACTAACTGAAAACCTACATGTTAGTAGTATTTTTTATAGGTCAAGTGTTTTTCTTGACCTCGCTCAGATGAACACCTAGTTTTAATGTGGTAAATTACTTGTAAAACACATTATGTAGTTACAACAAAAAAGGTTGAATCATGTCATCTGGACTTCGTTTTTTTGTTAAAAAGAAACGTTTCGCCCCTCATCCAAGAGGCTTCGTCAGTCTGAGGCCTAGCCGTCTGGTATTACCCAGAAGCCACCCTGACTCTTGTGTTTCAAGCCTGCCTCAGATACCCCTGAAGTCTGGCCTTTTCACTAATGGTTTCAAAAACATTATGTAGTTGTTTATTTAAATAAGAGGTAGGAGTTTCTGGAAACACAAAATATACACTTCGCAGCGTCTCTACTTACCTCAAGGTAGCGGATTTCCTTGGTCAGCTCTTTAATCAGGTGGTTCGGCCTGATGTGATCTGGTACCTCACTTGAGGGCTCTGTCACCTGCAGAAAGAAGAACAGAATAATTGAGCAGGAGTTTTGTTGTTTATATGCTAATAATCATTTCCCAACAAGGAACCTCCAGAGCCGGTGTGGGAACATTGCTACCAAGTCTTACCTCTCTTTTCAACCAAGTCCTCAGAGCAACAATTAAAGCCTTAACTCCATCTACAAGGTAGGTAGGTGGTGGACAGCTGTCCTCACGTAGCTCTGAAAGGGTCAGAAAAATGGATTAACGTGGATTCATTAGTCTGGTACTGCTACATATTCAGTGTTGTGATATTACCCACTCACCTTTTAGCATTTCAAGGAGGTTTTTACCCACATACCAGCAGATGGCCTCAAAGTACGGAAACTTAAAGAGGTCTGGAGTTTTAAGACGACGCTCCATTTCATAACACCTGCAGGATAAAGTATCAAGCAGTTCAGTGATGAAGGAATTAATAGTTTCTAGCACGTACAAAAAAGAAAAGCAAGAGAGGTGTTCACCTGAGCTGCATGCCAATATTAAGGTTGTGAAGGAAGTTCCCTCCAAATGCCATGCAATCCTGAGAGGTGAGGACACCATGGATCCAGCCTGCAGACGGCAGCAGAGGTTCCCAGATAATTCAATGACTTAACTTAAAGCAGCTCAACAAATCACAGCAAAGTATTAAAAACTGCCTGATGTGAATAGATATTTAGATTTAGCCATTTACAAGAAAAAATATGGTACAAAAATGAACGTTTTATCTTATGGTCAGACATAGAAGATGAGACTGTCTGCTGAAATGATTGATCCCACCACAGAAAACTCGCTGATACAAGACAAAGTGAGAGAAAGCAGAGTCTAGGGGGGGTTGTCGTAAGACTGATAGACAGGCCTGATAATGCAGCGGTTGACTGACCTACTGTGCTCCCTAACCCCCTCTTAATTCCCACCTCTTTACACCCTTTCTGCCAAAAAGAATCCCCTTCACAATACTGCTCAAGCCTGCTGAGAAACCACGACTGAAGACGGATTGAAGACGTCCAGGAGCTGACAGGCTGAACTGAACCTTGTCTGTCTGGGTGCAGTGGGGGGGATGAATGGGATTTCTATCAGTTTAAAAGTCCATTGAGAGGCTGATGGAAGAGTAATCATATAACAGAACACATCAGCTTCACTTGAGTGATTAGGAAGGACGTCATATTTAGTTAGTGACACGAGAGCTCCTTTCAGCTTTAATGCATCTTAAAACAACCACATCTTTAGAGTCATTCTACGGCAGGAAAAACTAACAACAGTACTTTTACTATTTTACATAATAGCTGTGTTTTTTTCCAAGTTTTCCATTTAATTTTTAAATCATTAAGACCTGTTTGAATTGTTCATAAGGAAGAAATTGTCTTTTTGTTTTACTTTGGTTAAATGTTCTCCATTATTGTAAAACATCTGCTTGTTCCCGACACTGGAACAATTTTGTTTTAAATAAACGTGGTTAAGAGATTCATGAGTCCAACAGCCTCAGGGTAAAAGCTGTTCCTCAGTCTAGTGGTTCTACACTTAATGCTCCTTAACCTCCTGCCTGAGGGGAGTGGGGTAAAAATGTGTGCTGTGTGAGTGGGGTCCTTCATGATGCAGGTGGCTCTCTTCCTGCATCTAGAGGTATATGTCTGTGAAGGTGGGGAGACTGACTCTGACAGACTTCTGTGCAGCCTTCACCACTCTCTGCAAAGCTTTTCTTTCTGCAGCTGTGCAGCCCCACAGATCCTCTTATGTTCAGGGGGGTGTAGATGTGTTTGTTACTTCTGAAGTCCACAATCATCTCCTTTGTCTTCTTCACATTGATGTGAAAGTTATTCTCTTTGCACCAGCTCTCCAGGTGTTCCAGCTCCTGCCTGTAGCTGGACTCATCGTTGTTTGTGATGCATCCCACCACCGCTGTATCATCTGCAAACTTTACAATGTGACAGCCTGGAAGGGTAGCTGCACAATCATATGTGAGCAGAGTAAACAGGAGGGGGCTCAATACACATCCCTGAAGAGAGTCAGTGCTGAGGGTTATGGTGGAGGAGAAGTTGTGGATCCTCACTGACTGTGGTCTGTTTGTTCAGAAGTCTTAGTACCCAGTTGCAAATGGAGGGGCTTAGTCCTAATGTGAATAGTTTGTCCATCAGGGTTTGGGGGATCATGTTGTTGAAGGCGGATGTGAAGTCCACAAAGAGCATACGGACGTAAGAGTTTTTCTGATCCAGGTGGTTGAGCGCAGTGTGGACCACAGAGATGGCATCCTCTGTTGATCGGTTCTCGCAATATGCATACTGATGAGGGTCCTCGTTGATGTTGATGGTTGTTTTGATGTGAGTCATGACCAGTTTTTCGAAGCATTTAGCGACTATCGGGGTGAAGGCCACTGGCCGATAGTCATTCAGACCAGTCACTGTAGAGCTTTTTGGGACTGGGATGATGGTGGCAGTCTTCAGGCAGGTGGGAACTGTCTCCAGGGTAAGTGAGGTGTTAAAGATGTCTGCCAGCACCTCGCAGAGCTGATCGGCACATTCTTTAAACACTTTTCCAGGAATGTTGTCTGGCCCGGTTGCCTTGTGCGGATTAATCCTCCTGAAGTACTCCATACTTCTGCTGAGGTCACGCTGAGATGCTCTTCATCCGGTGGTGAGGTGAGTCTTGTGCTGGGTGGTCTGTTCGGGTCTTCAAAGCATGCATAGAACTTGTTGAGGGCATCAGGCAGAGATTGGTCTTTGGGGCATTGTTCGCTCCTTCCTTTATAAACTGTTATGTACTTAATGCACCTCCACATGCTCCGAGGGTCTTGCGAGGTGAATTGACCCTCGATCCTCTGTGCATATGTGGCATTGGCCCTCTTAATACCAGCAACCAGCTTTTTCCTTGTCCTACTTGGCTCCTCTGAGCTTACAGACCTGAAGGCAGTGTTCCGGGCTTCCAGCAGGGTGCGCACCTCTGCATTCTGCCAAGGTTTTCTGTTTGGGTGGCTTTTAACATATCTGATGGTGGAGACAGTGTCAGTACATGTACTAATGTAACCCAGAACTTAGGATGCGTATTGGTCCAGATCAAGCGATTCTCCATTTTCAGCAGCTTCTCAGAAAACCTGCCAGTCTGTTCGATCAAATGCACGGAAAAGTGCAGAATTAATCAATTCGAGCGAACACAAACATTGCAGATTTAAAGTCGGCACCTCATTTGTTGTTTGTAATTATTCTAGTTATCAGATGTAAAATATATACAGTCCATTGAATGAGTGGTGAAAACACCATGGATCCAATACTTTTCAAATAATTAGCATTAGCCACTAAAAGTTCATGCCACTCAATCACTGCTCCAAATGCTTTTTATTCTCTGCCGGCTGCCCATCTTCAGGCCTGTATTTTACATGCACTTGTTAATGTACAGTATAGCACAAACTTCCTTTCTTTTTATAATTTTCTTCTGCTATTTTTGTATATTTAATCCAATAAAAAAACAGCACACTGAGCCAAGATTTATAGCATGTTAAATTAGGTCTTATGAGACTACAGTCCTATCCTGATGGGGTGAATTTAACACAAAGATTCATGTTTTGTTCAGAACTTATTCAGCTTTAAAGCTTAAAGCCCAGAAAATATAACGGCAACACCATAAAGGTCACAGTGAGGAGGTCTGAATGTTGATAAAAAGTGCTGCTCAGATTTCTTTGTCCTGTTTGGTGCTTTCAACTCCTACCAATACAACAAATACATAGTTTTGATATTAATGCAAAAACAATCATTTTGGATGTGCTTTATCGGGATGTAAAAAAAAAAATAAAAATCCCATAATTTCATCATCTTGCATCATGTCCTCCTGTTGGTCACGGGTGAAAAAGACGACTGCAGAGCTCGTGTGAAAACCGCTTCTGTAAAAGGGACACGCAACGTCTTTTTCTTTTTTCCTCCAACTCTTTCTTCATGACACTATTATTGTGCAACAGAAACAAACTAGAGCTTAAACAGTAGAAGCAAATGTATTTATTTTTTATTAAAAATTGCTCTATTTACTAGTTAGAACCAGCTGTTGTCACTTGTGTGCGTTGACCAATCTGTCACATAGAATGATTTTTAACTACTGTATTTTTTAGACGATAAGGCGCATTTAGCGAAACAAGTTCATTTTGAAGATTTTTGAGCGCCGTGTACCACATAAAATCTGTTCCGAGGTCAGTAAGCACAACCAGAATTAATACATAAGGTGCACTGAATTATAAGGCTCACTGTCGATTTTAGATAAAATTAAAACGATTTTAAGTGCACCTTATAGTCTGAAAGATACGGTATTTAATTTCTCAACAGCTTTTGCAGCTTTATTTACAAGCACTGTAAGCTATTTTAACATGACCAGCTGGAGTTTATAGTTCACGCTTGAGACGGCTTGCATGAATCCTCGCAAAAAGAATTCATAAACACGATTGCTTTTCGCAGCAATATTTATAAACACAAACTGACGTTATTAGGATTAGAGCAAAGTGAGATACATTCCAGTTCATTTTGTTCTGTCACCAACACAAATCCAAGAGTGTGAAGTCTTTATTCAAAAAGGAAAAATCTCAAATAAAACAAGCAGATAAAACCCACAAACCTGTAGGGATGAGCAGGGTGGTTCCTTGGGGAACAACACACTTGTAGCACTTATCCACTTTGTCCCCGAAAAACACTTCGCTCTGATTGGGTGAGGAGCTCCATGCCTCGTATAGTGCAAGGTTGGTGGGAGTGGGTTTGATCAAGTAGAAGATCTTCTCACCCTGTAAACCAGAGAATATGGTGTTGGAGAGTTGCTGCTGCTGCGCTCGATAGCTGTGATGAGGAAGCTTGCATCAACAGCCACCCACTGTACCTCCCACCACCACCTCATGTTAGCTAGTTTAGAGATGTGACATGAACAAATTATCACCACAGCGCTGTAGTGTGGCGCCCAGAGTTGTTAGATGATTAAACAAGTGAAAATTCATTGACCTTTTAAAAAGTGTTGGATAATAAATCTGAACACACAAAAATCATTTATTTTAATGCGTCAGATAAGCAATTCAATCAGTGTCCTCTCTAGTGGGACTCTTCCTAGCTCTTTTTATTGGACACTTACCCAAAGAACATGATACCACACTGAGGTTCCTCCAAAGTCTATGTGGAAGTCTGTGTAGCTGTCTTTAACCCCCATAAGGCAATACTTCTGGACAAAGGGTTTGGGGAAGAACGAGTCGTCCGGCCAGTAGTTTTCCACCCAGGACATCTTCATAGCCACGTCAGGAACCTCTACCAACTCTGACATTCTGCAGGTGGTTCAAGAGAAGCAGGAGGTTACTCCACACCAACACAAGTGGAACTGCAACCTGAATCTGTGTGTGATTAACCTGAAGTTTAAATTTATGATATAATCAAAGGTCTAGCATCCCTTGAAGGAATGCATATAACCCACCGCCTTTTTTATAAGACGTTCAAACTAAGACCATCTCATGATAAGAAGGGAGGGAGTAATAGTTGATTTGGTCAAATCATGTAAATTACATTGTCTAGCATGATCCAGCAATATTAAAAGTTTGTGTTGTGAATGACTCTCAGCTTCTACCACATCAAACCAGAGTTCAAAATCTGTAAAAGCAACCCAGTTATCTCCAGTTGTGTGATGGCTGATGTCAATTAGCTGTGGTGGCCATCTTGAAATTAAGGTGACTCCAAACATCAATGAGCTGCAGATGAACATCTTCTTGAGTTTCACTAAAGTTAGTTCAATGGTTCATTAAATATTTTGCTAACAATAAAAACACACACACAGGCAAAACATTATCACCTCTTGATTCTTGCAGCGGTTAATAACTGAATTATTTTTAACAACCTCTACTTAAAAAAAGAAAAAACATACTGAACCTTAAACACCAAAATAAAGAAACTTATTGTTCATTTGAAATTAATCAAGTTCTTGGCTTGAACCAACTTATAATGCCACACAATGACTGACCACTGTACTTGCTGCCGTACACGTCGCACCGCATATAAGTCGCATCAGTTCAAAAATGTCTAATACAGTGGAACAAAAACATAAATATGTTGCTTTGTCATATAAGTTGCATCTATTATGAGTCACCGCTGACAACCCGGAAACGTGGGCCGGTGTGCCAAAAATCGATTGGCTGTCAAAATGGCGGCCGCGGAAGCTTGCACGGGAGGACTTTAACAAGAATTTAACAAGATTAACACTTAAAAACAATTATTTGTTTGCTCGACATTATGGTAAAGGTGTGTCTCAGTTTAACGCTTCCTTAATAAATGCACTTTGACGATCAAATCAGCTGCATTTCATCTGGGCGGTGCGGCGAAATGCAGCTGATGTGACGTTTGCTCCAGGAGTTCCGGTGCGAGACGAAGGTGGCTTTGTATGGCAAGACAAGTGCCTCGTTAATAGCCACTTTTACCTATTAATGAGACACTTGGCTTGCCATATTAGTCGAGGGCCCTCTAGTGGCTGAAAATGTGTTTAATATTTTCCTTGTCAGAATGAATGAAAACGGTCAAATGTCAGTCAAAAATTGGATTATAAATGTGGGAAAAAAACAAATGAGTTGCTTCGGTGTAAAAGTCGGAGGGCATGCAAATTTATGCAAAAAGATGCGACTTATACGCCGGCAAATATGGTAACCTAACAGCTGAACATTAGGGTTGTTTTAGCAAAGCAGTGTAGATAAAATTGTGTCTTCATTTATGAAGCTTCTGTTTGGTGAATCTTACTTGGTGTCGGAGAACTCCAGGCTGATGAGATTGAGGACCTTGGGTCGATGGGGTTTGGTGAAATACTTGATAAACTCACTGAGCTTCATCTTGCTGTCTGCCTGCCGCGCCACATCTATCACGTCGATAACTTTGTCACCACCTAGATAGGAGTAAAGAGCTCTTTAGTTTGTGCAACATCAGGAGAGAAACTCTGCGCTCACTGGACTCTTGAATGAAAAACATGAAACTTTGTTTAATTGGCTGCCGAGTAGGCGAGAGGTTCAGAGGGGTCAGCAGCTTGCTGGTATCTCCTTGTGCTTTTCAAGATCGAGCCCTGAGGGAAGCTAGCATCAACAGGGCAATGTAGGGAGGGGATACAAGCGAGACAATCTGTCAATCTGTCCAGACCACCAGTCCCTGAGGAGGGGGAGTGGGTGTAGGTGAGAGGGCAGCTGTGTTTGCGGCCAGTGTGTGCGTGGGAGATCATAAGCATACAAGGAAATACTTGTACAGATGCAAGAGGAAGTGTGTGCAGAAGCTGCAGCAATATGAGGAGAAAAATACAAAACAGAAAAAAAAAAAGAAGCCAAAACAGTGACTCTGTTGAAGCAGTTGGGACGCTACAAATCACAATCGAGTGACACATGGAGCTGGAAGTTGGACGAGGGCGCAGTGTGTACGTGTGCAACAAGACAGCTGCTTGTTGTATTTTCTCCACGCCCCTCCCACACACCTTTTTATTACTCCTTAGCATGTTCCTTTACTCTCTTCCTGCCACGCACGCCCACACAAACACACGCACGCACACACACACACCTCTGACGCCCCAGCTGGCCAGCGTCTGATGACAGAGAACAGCTGGTGTAGAGGCGGCGTGTCACAAAGTGAGACACAAAGCTGCCAGGAAACCTCACGACGCAGAGCTCAGCTTTACAAACAGAGATGGCAAGAAAAAGATCTGCTATAAATGGTCACAATTTACAGCCCCACTGAGCCAGCATAAAAGGTAATCAAGCTGATGTCCCACCACAGCCACAACGATAGATTATGCTCCACATATTCCTAAAAATGCAGCTTATCATTGTTGCAAATGTCTTTGTCAACAAGCTTGCACCAGAAACGCATGTAGAATTGAAGTAAATGAAATACCCAGTCAATAATATTTACTTCAATGTAAATATCTAACAAAGTCAGGTCTTCAGGACAGATTAAAAAAATAATAATCTTGTTGGAAGTCTTTTGGATAAAAGACAAAACACTTCGTTTTTTTTTTTATCTGTCCAGAGGACCTGACTTAACTTTGTTATTTTCTTCCTGGATTATTGAGCATGCATCAGGATATTTACTGTAAATACTTCTCGACTTTCCTATAAAAATGTAACTAACCTGTTAAAATGGTCCTGTATGATTTAGGATTATAAGTGCTTCAACAGTTCAAGTGATTTTAACCAAGTTTCTTTGGGATACATGTTTGACCACACACAAAGTCTGTTGCACAGACGATTGGAAACCCTTGCAAGCTGCAGAAGATTTCTGTGTTTACCGTATTCCTATTGTCCAATTGTCTTGTAGCAATAAAAAAAACGCAACCCGACACTCCGACCCTGGTCAGAACACCTGTGCCTTGGCTTTAAGCTCAATAGGGCATAAATGTGTGGAAGTGATAAGTGAGAGACGGAGTCTGTAATTTGAACTTCATGATAAAAACACTGGTGAGCTTGGTAATGGGCTTGTAATACGAGCTGGGAAGTGGCAGGCTGTGTTCAGGAAGAAACCACAGTGGTCATGGAGAGGGCAGTGGAAGCTTAGCCGTCATTCATTTAGAGCTCATTCAGCCATCGCCTGATGCCTGATAAGTGGGTTAAAACCTCATGAACCTGCAAACCTGTTCATATTGGCACACAGATGGCGCCTGCTCAGCTATGGCCACTTTGCCGGCCGGTGTTGGGTCGTTTCAGTAGCTTTTAAGCAGTGTACTCGTATCACAGAGCCAGCGCAACTCCCAAAAGGAAAACACTAATGTGCTGCGGTACATTCGATACGTATGACGAGCCTTCTGATTATTACATGTTCTTACCAACATACTGCACCACATCTTTGACAGAGAACGTGGGTGGCGGTAGTTTCAGGCCCAGGCCCTCCATCTCAGTGATCACAATAGGGTAATTAAAGCCATGTCGCTCCAAGTATCTGGTGGTCACTTGTTCGCCCCTCATTCGTATCAGAATCTCTTCAGCACTGCAAACCACGTCATAGCAAGTTTAATAAACATGAAAACATATCGATTTATTTTTAATCCAGGAGCTACTTACTTGAACATTTTACTATTGTTCAGAAAAATTAAATTGATTTTTTAAATCTTTTTTCATCATTTTAATGGTGCAAAAAGTGAACCGAAAAGTTTTACGCGTAGTTTAAGATGATACACACCCAGGGAAGGTTCTGTTCTGGAGCTCCTTGATAAACACTGAAGTCCCCGCCTGCACCGGCTTCGATCCATCGTCTGGCTCTGTGTAGTCATGCCTGTGCCAGTTGTGGCGCTTTTTCACTGGATGGGGATGTTAAATCAGTTCATTTCTCTGTTCATATTTTCACATAATCACTGCACACTTGAAATGCGTTTTTAAAAAAGTGGTATTATTATGCAGATTACAACGACTTTTCATAAGGACATGAATTCACTACTTAACACGTGTTAAAATATGAAGGGGCCTTTCCATTCAAAGTGGAGGGTTTACAACACCATTCAATTAGCCGGCTAATGTCTAACCCCAGGGCTTGCAAAGGTTAACCCCCAACTTCTTGGGAAAAATTTAAAAAACAAGTAATTGACTAACACTGCAGAGAGCAGTCTTTTCCCTCAGGACAACACAGACAGAGGTGGTGGGCAGTTAATAGACAATACAAGGCTGTAAGTAGGAGTCAGACCCAACACAGCAAGGGGAGCCTGTGAATGATGAGAACATAACTCACTCAGGGAGGGTCCATGTTTGACATCACAGTTGGGACAGTGGTAAACATCGATATCCACAGCATGATGCTCTTCTACCTGAACACAGCTGGAGTAAAAACAGTTTCAGAGTTAGAATACACAAGTGAATCATTTGTCCAATAAATTCAAAAAAAGGGGAAAATGTCAAAATGCTATATACAACAACCAGGAAATAGACTACATTAAGAAAACTAAAAAAGGTAGAAAAGCAGCATTTTTCAAAGTATTCAACTTATTTCTGCTGTTTATTCAAAACTTTCTTCCCGTTTGATTTGAATACGCCAAAACAAACAAACAAACAAACAAAATGTTGCTGAACGCAGTGTTCGTGCAGAAGAGACATCAAGATTACAAATTAGAGATACTCAGCAAACCGTGGAGTTTGAACTTATCACCATTTAATTAAGTTCATGTTCACGAGTCAGAACCCCCCCCCACCACCACCACCACCACCAATTCAGACAACAAATGAACAGAATATGAGGAAAGATTCAACCATAATATAGAATATAAATATTAATACAACTGATTTAAGCGTAAACTGTGCCACCCACTCAGCTCCCACCGAGTGTTCTGCAGCAGCCAAACCACAAGCACATGCATTCCTCTGTTGCATACCAGAACGCCATTTCAGAGCAGCAGGAGCTGAACAGGAACCAAGTTTGAACTGACAAATACTTGTGCAACACATACAACACGAGGACTCCTCAAGTTCCACCACGACTGAGGCAAATCTGGCAAATCAGCATTTCAAATAAGAACCTGTAATTCTCATAACTTCAGCACGTACTAATCTCTTTTGTTGCATGTTCCAGTCAACATCTAGGCTGCAGGCTTTTCACATGGTAAGAACATCCTTAATGGATTGTTATGAATAATTTTTAAATTCATAAATAAGAAAAAACCGAGGAGAGTGGACAAGTAGATCAAAAGGTTTCAATACACCTGAAAAAGTCTGGAAAGTAAAGAACAGACAAGATATATTGTAGTGTAATCCTGTTGCATGTTAGACATCACACCTTTTTAAAAGTTGCTATCAACTTCAAGCTATAGTATTTAGGTTCAAGACAGCTGCCAGGAAAAAACAACAACAAGAAAATGAAGGATAGAACAGATTTTTGCTGATACAAGCTCTGTTCCTACAAAAGCTGCAGTAAATACACTGCCTGGACAAAAATAAAAGTTACCACCTGGATTTAACTAATCAAATAGGTTCGAGCCTGCTATTGGATAATTACTGCATGGGTGATCATCTTTCAACTGCAACAAGTTATTTAACATCAACTGGTGCAATGAGTTGCTTCTCATTTCTTAAATAACCATGTTGAAAGTCATGATGTCAAAGACGTCAGTCTGTTTGAGAAGGGTCAAATCATTGGCATCAAGCAGAGAAAACATCTAAGGAGTTTGCAGAAACTACTAAAACTGGGTTAAGAACTGTCCGATGCATTATTAAAAACTGGAAGGAGAGTGGGGACCCATCGTCTTCGAGGAAGAAATGTGGCCGGAAAAAGATCCTGAATGATCGTGATCGGCGATCACTTAAACGTTTGGTGAAATCAAATCAAAGAAAAACAACAGTAGCACTCGGGGCTATGTTTAATAGTGAAAGTAAGAGCATTTCCACATGTACAATGCAAAGGGAACTCAAGGAATTGGGACTGAACAGCTGTGTAATCTTAAGAAAACCACTAATCAGTGAGGCTAACTGGAAAAAAAGCTTCACTTTGCTAGGGAGCATAAAGATTGGACTCTGGAGCAATGGAAGAAGGTCCAGATTTACCCTGTTCCAGAGTGATGGGTGCATCAGGCTAAGAAGAGAGGCAGGTGAAGTGATGCACCCATCATATCTAGTGCCTCGTCATCAATGCAAGATCTTGGTGAAAAAATTATTCAACACTGGATGGAAATAGATCTTGTGACATTGCAGAAGCTTATAGAAACAAAGCCACAGCGACTGCATGACGTAAACAAAGCTAAAGGTGGTCCAACGAAATATTAGTGTGAACTTTTTTTTGGTGGCAACATTTTTTTGGGGCCAGGCAGTGTACAAGGCAGACCACAGCCCTTTATCAGATTTGATCAAAGCGGAATTGCAGGAAACTGTAAAATAAAATAAAACAAAATAAAAAAAAACAAACAAACCAAGAACCATTAATTTATCAGAAAGTAGAGAGCTCGAGTGCTGGACCAAATCACTCTGCTCTGACAGGATATCAAGGGTAGCTTCCTTTCACTTGTTTAGCACCTACAACGCGCTCTGCTGCTGCCTGCACCGGAAATATTCACTGTGAAGCAGAAACGTACAAACATGTCGGGCAAAGTTTTCTGCTCAAGCTAAGTGAAAGGGCAATAAAGTGCGTTTAGTTGCCACAACCATCCTGAGAGGTGTACAAAACAAATACATTAGAGGCTTTACAGATACTTACAATGTTTGTTTAACTGTAATAAAGTTTCTTTTAAATCACACTCATCTGTGTTACCAGATACATTTTTGACTAAAGCATTTTTTTGGGGAAAAATAAAAACCCTCAAAGCAACAACACTATAGTTTGGAGCTCATGTGTCAGGAATCTTTGTTCAAACATGTGTCTATTTGCTGAGGGAAAGTGTGAGCAACGGCTTTCTGCGTTTGGGTTTGCTAAGATCTGTGAGGTGAGCATGCACCCAGGCGAGGTCACCCTCCTGTACTCGACTCGTTTGGTACGTTCCTTTATGTAACACGAGAGTGGGAAATAAGGGCACTGTGCCACAAATGCCTGCCTTAATCAGCGCGTGCGTCACCACTTATGATTACTACTCCGCAAGACACCCAAACTTGACAAAATACGTCGAGTTGGGGAAAATAAAAATTTAAAGGTGTATCATTTATTGCAGGAATGCACATCTTTCATGCGAGAGTTTTAGAGTAAGTATTCTACGTCGAGACTTGAAATTTGTAATTAGCTTTGGTGTAACCTGAAAATGATACGTGCAAATATCACAGGAGTTGTCACGCTCAGCGTATGTGCTTTGAATGACTCTCAGCTACAACCACATCAACCTTTAGCTCAAATTCTGTAAAACCGATTGAACCTTACTTGTGTTGCATACAGTTGATTAGCTGTTGCTATAATAATAATAATGTAGATGAACATCCTATGATTACCTTCTGTGAGTTTCATTAAACTCCATCCAGTGGTTCATTTGATAGCACAGCAATCTCTCCCAACACACACACATTGTCACTCCACCTTTGATGGGCAATAAAACAATATTTGGCTGAAAGAGAAAGTGGATCAAGTATTTCCTGTCCTGCTTGGGTTTGCATCACTGCAAAGCTGGGAGAGTGTGCAAACAGTTCTTGAAGCGATGCGAACCTTAATAACTTGGAAAACAATCAGTGCAAAGATTAGATATGAGGAAACAGTATAAATCACTGTTACACTACAAAACTTTATCACTTGTAAAAATAAAAAAAACAGAAGCTCACACAGTGTACAACAAAGCTGATAAGTTGTTCTGAATGCATCTCGGCAGGTTACAAAGCCAAACATCCCTTCCTGTAGAAGACGAGATGTGTGCACTTGGCTAAACTTCTTGCCGTCAACAGCCCCTGTCCCTCTGCTTCCTCTCATCAAGGGCCTCCTTCCTGTGTGACTGAGAGGGCTTTTTCATTACTCCGTGCACTGTGAGGGGTTCATTGTCCTCAGTGATCAGTGCAGAAACACAAAAGCTGGAGGCGGGCGTCACCATTATTTTAAGCTCTAAATAACCATTCTGCATGGGGTGCTGACACACCTACATTAGGGAACTGGCAAGACACTAATGGATGGGTGCTCGAGATAGAGACAGAAAAGCAGTTGAGGGCAGTTAAACACACCTGGATATCTTTATCTACACAGTTCCTCCATAGACAGTGCAATAAAAGCCACCGAGGCCTGACAGAGGAATAGGGATCTGTCACTTTTGGCCTTACTGGTAAAATCATTTTAGCTAGCCAGCTAGCTATAAAACGAAAAGAACATCCCTGGGGTGTTTGCAACTTAACAAGAGACAGCGGGCCTTTCTGTAGGCAGCTGGTGAACAACAAGAGAATCTCTTTGTTGTTTATAGAGTTTAATGGAACCTAAAGATGTTTTAACAACTTACCGGTAATCGTTTTTGGCGTTGCCTTGAGGCTCCCAGCACTGCAACTCTGTTTGCACACATGCCTTTAACATGGCTGTGCCCTGTCAAAGTCATCAGACTTGTGTTTCGGCTGCAGGCAGCAGCTCGCAAGCATCAACTGAACTCAAGTGAAGGCTGAGCAGTTTGTGCAAGATGATTTGTTTCACGTTAGAATAACTAAAGTGTAAATCTCAGTCACGCCTGACTGGTATCAAACCACTTAGTTGAACAGTTCAGTCAGCTTTCTTTTAATTTGTCAATTTTGGTTTGACTCAAAAAGCTATTAATAGAATTACATGTTCAAACTTTAAACTTATACTGCACAACATCATTATAATAGAAGCCAACTATTAATCAATACAAGGGCTCTTGACTTCCAGTACACAACAAATAAGCTAAAGGTGCTTTCCTGCCCTCCAGACATAGACTTGCTAATGAAGGTAAACAGTTTTTAGGATGTGGCTGCTTCTTTCTTTGGTTAATTAACATCTTATATCTAAAACCTCTCCATCAGACAAATAAACAAGTCATTCTACTCGTATATATCCTCTTAGAATTAGACAATACAAGCACTTTGTAGACGCGTTCAATCTCTTTTTAGTGTGCTCACTTTGTACGACAGTGACAGATCGTGCACTGAACTTGGTTCACTGAAGCTTCATCAATCACTCCCTCTGTCCCATCGAGCACCAGTGCTCTATCATCACCCCCACTGTCCGTACCTACATCAGACAATGGGTCAGACTGGGGCGCCTTACATCAACACTGATGGGATTTGACCTACTGAGGATTTGAAGTACTCAAAAACGCTCGCTGTATGGCTGTAACTCGGCATCCAAGAAACACTGCGTGGATTGATAAAACAATTAAAATGTCTTGTGTGGCCCAGAAGGGAAAAAGTTCAAACTAACGTTCGCAGTCCGAAACGTGGGGACTATTAGTGGGTTTTACAGCTTTGTGGATTTCTTCAGGGCAATGTTACCAAACTCGACAGTCGAGACACCCCCATGGGGGCAGCAGAATAAACAAACAGGGTCAAAAGGTGAAAAACTGGGTAGCAGAAACTGAAAAACCATTTCCTCTAGAAATAAGCGTTTCCATTTCTTGTGAGGCTTTGCTCATGCAGCACTATAAAAAGGGACGAATAGGCTTGTTTGAAAAACAACTATTGTGACTTATTTAAGTCAATTTGAATTCAAAAGTCAGTGAAGTATAAAAGTGTAGCATTTCATGAATGTGTTGACACCTGCCACGTTTCATGTGAGAATTTTAGATCACCTTACGCTGTGAAATTATGGAGGTATAGTCGTAACCGTTGGTTAAACATGAAAATAACATCACGCTCAAAGGATGCCATGTGAAAGACTCCCACCTACTCTCAAAACAAATTTTAGCGCAAAATCTGAAAAACGGACTACGTTCGAGCCATTTGTGTGTTGGCTAATGTCGATTAGCTGCAATGTTTAGAATTAGACCGACTCTAAAAAGTTAATCGGTTGTGGATGTACATAATTATTTCTGAAGAGGTTCAGTAAAATCTGTCCAGTGGTTCACAAGATATTTTACTAACAGACAAATTGGGATAATCAAACTAATTTTAGCCCTTTTTGTACTTTATTGTTGTATTGAGATAATATAGAAGTTGGGGGTGGGTTACCAGTCTAGTCAAATACACACTTTTGTGCTTCTTGGTGACCCCACTGTCTACTCGTCTGACACTGATAAACCACAGAGTTCAGATCGTCAGAGCGCTTCCCCCAGTCAGAGTCTTGAATTGTCCTGGGTACCGAGATAGTGAAAGATACAGGTGATGGAAAACAGGGCACTCTCCAGAAACTAAGGCAGTGAGACAAAAGTCCTCCACACAAACAAAACAAACTCGGTAAGCACTCTGAGTAACAGGCATTGGGAGACAGAGTTCCTGTCATTTCCACTCAATCCATATGCCACCATCCACAGCCAGAGATTATCCCTTTCCTTCTGGCCAGCCTCGTGGGAAAGAGTCTGGAAATGTGGCTGTATTTGGAGGTCTGCCTTGTACGTTCGTGCCTATTAGTCATCAATCGGGAGGGAATGCTCGAACGTTTGTTCCTGTTCTTGCTTGCGCATGACACACTAGCTAGTCTTTTCTGGCTTGGATGTGCAACAAATCCTGCGTGCCAAGTTTTTTGGCAGCAATCTTAATGTGGTTACGCAACAGCTTCCGTCATTTCGACATGAGCGAAAACAGACTGTTGTATTCATAAACAGTTGCTGTGGAGATTCACCCACACAGCCTGAGTCAATGAATCGTCTAGGTCAGCCTCAGGGCCACAGAGATAAAAAGCAATAGTCGCAAAAAAGATCTGAGGTAAAAAAGAAAAGACAGCCAGAGTATAAAACGCATACAAAAGAGACTACTTTGCCAGAAATAAACAGCTCCCTGCTCCACTAAGAGCCACTTGAGCAGCACTGAGGATCAACCAAAACGTCTAATTCACAGTTCAACCTATACAGTACAACTAAGTGGGCCACTTGGTCAGGTTCAAGCCATACAGACTCATCTTAACCTCAAAGTGTCCACTGTTAAGTCATAATATTGTGCATGAACTTGAGCACATATGGTGTTTTTTATTTATTAACTTGTGGGAAAGGAGGAATGGGAGTGCAGTCAAGCCACAGGGTTTCATTACACAACAAATTCCTGTTATGATCATGACAGCCAACACCCAGACACTCCTTAAATTATAAAGTCCTGAATAATAACTTTTTAAAAAAGGACGAAATACAGTATTATAAAATTGTGGGGGTTAATATGCCTGCCTGGTACCTTTAAACAATACCTATGTCTGCCACTAGGGGTCCCCTGCCATGCGGCTCCACTGCCTGAAAGAGGGATTTAAATTTCTCGAGCTGTCAATCAAAAGCCGAACCATAACAAGCTCCTTGTTCTCTGCATGCCATAATCCACTGTAAAAATGATTTAAAACAAAAAACATCACAAACAAAATCCATACTCAACTGAACTTACATCAACCACGGAATGATTTGGCAACAAAATGGAAAAACAGCTCGTGTATCCAAGCGCATAAAAAGTGGGAACAAGTCAAATGCTGGCCCTGGCTGCTTTCAGCTTGAATGTGTTAGAAGTTGGACTCAAATCGACAATGTGCGACTAATTCATCTGGGTCCTAACCTTTAAAAAAAAAACGGCGAAACTTTAATCTAACTTACCTCTTTAATGATTTTATAGAGGGAATACGAGATAGCTGTTTATGTCACGTTGAGCTTTTGATCTTTCGTGGTGACTGACACAGCTCTTCACAAAAAAAAAAACTAATTTCTAAAATGTATACTATAGAAGTAATTCAGGATGTGAGATATAGGTTGTGTGTTTAATTCGTTTTTTAGGGCAAACTATCAATTTAGAGACGAGTTATAGGAAAACAAAACCCCACTTTCGCTCGTAAAGTCGTGTCAATAGACGGTTTAAAACCCCCGTCGCCCACCGTTAGCGTTAGCGAGCTAAGTTAGCCACCATTCAGCTCCGCTCCGAGAACCGTCGCCTTACATTCGTAAACATCCGTGTTTCTCGCCCGCACATAGCTACACCTGCTAAAGACACCCCAGTCTACGTACCTTCCGTGAAACCAGTCCTTACAGATGTCGCACTCGATCATAAACCGGCTCACATCGTAGGACTGCCGGCAGACACAGTACAGCGGGGCCGCCGCCATCTTCCTACTGTCCCCAAACAAGGCAGGAACGAGGCGGGAGGGGATTTAACCCACCGTCCGGAAACACCCGAGAGCGAGCCGAACGCTGACGAAGTGCGCCACTTCTGACGTCACTTTGCAAATCAATCATTTCCATCTGGCTGTCTGTGTATGAGTGCAGGCGCACGAAAAGACTTAAAACTTTTTCAAGAAAGGAATGACATAATGGTATTGTTGGTTATCCTTTTTTTTTTATTATTGACAATTTATTTTTGTTATAGGACTCTGAGATATATACAATATAGTTTGTCACATTAATAAGAGGATTAAAATCCAAGAAGCCCATAGGCACAGATGTGTAAAAAGGCCTCACTAGTCTTTACTTTAGTCTTGTTAAAGCAAAGACGCACAGATTAAATAATTTTTAAAAAGTAGTTTTGCCTTTAGTTGTGTATATTACCAGATATTGACTCAATTTCCTCATCTTAATTAAATTGTTTATGATCTAATTGGATTTTTGTGTACGTTTTTCATTGTTCTCTGTAGTGATCTGAATATTTTTTCTACAATGTTGACATTTACTTTATTTCTGGCATGGTTTGAATTGACTGTGCAATGTTTTGTTTGACGATTTAGCAATTTCTTTTTTACTTTGACAGTTGCATTTAATCATTTGTCAGTGTGGTCATTTAGGATTTTTATGGTTTATTCATTAATTTGCCTAATTTTACTTGTTTTGCTAATTTCATTTGTCTAATTTTTTAATTTTCAGGCAACTATTCTTTGTTTTTGCCATGTGATACTTCTGAACTTAAACATTTTGCATAATTTTTTTCTCTCATTACACAATTTTAAATCCAGCATTAGCTGATTTAAGGTATTTATTCTTAGTGCCAAATTTTGTAATGTTATTACCCATTCAAAGTTATAAATTTCAACAAAATCATGCACATACTTCAATAAAAATTGTTAAATTTTAGTTTTGATCCACTATTCTTTACAAAATGCCTTAATGTAACAAACATGCATGCATCAATACAAATCTATGCACAAAGAAAATGTGCAGAATTAAAATATTCTCTAAAAAATTATATGTTGTTGCAAAAAAATTGTAAAATTATTTTAAATTAACACAAATCTGTCACATTACTGTAAACATCTTTTAATGCTGCAAAGAAAACCAAAAAAAGAATCCACCACTGAATATTTACACACTTTTCCAGCATGGGAACAGTTCAGAGATGCATAAAAATCAAAACACAAGATGCTCAGTACGTCTCCATGGAGGATGTCTGACATACCCTACATGCCTGTGTGTTGAATAGCAATGGGACCACCGACCCACAGCTTGATCTGTGTGCTGACAGCACCCATCCCCCAACACGCCCATCTGTGCAGCTCTGCATAGACAAGCAGCTCCGGTGCATGCAGGAGCTCCTCAGCGCTCGCTGCACACGAGACATGTGATTTACAGGGTTAATCTGCAGAAATAAGCCTCAGAGTTGTGCCTTTTTTCTTCTTTAGATTCACTTTCAGTGCAGATAGATGCAAACAGCTCCTTTGTCCTCAGGACTGACAAACAGCCCAGTTGAAGTGGATCAGTTTCAAGTTTTCACATCATGTTTTGTCTCTTGTCTCGCCTCAGAGTGACTTTTTGAGTGGGTGCTGCAAAAATCTATATCAAATTAATTATCACTTGTGGAAACCCCTCTTGAGATGAAGTAAGATGCTTGACTAAATAAGTCGTTCATCTATCAGCAGAGGAATAAGGTGCGACAGAAACACACTGTAAATGACTTAAAGATGAAGGCAATCTATGTTGGGTTTTTATGATTATAGGTACAGTATCATCTTATTTTGAAATGACATGTTTGACTGTAAGATATGGGTTAGCACTCAGAGTTTGTGTTGGAAATCACTCTCAGCTACTACCAAACCAAATTTATCTCAACACTTGTAAAACTGGCTGAGTTGTAGTCATGTTTGTATTTGCTAATGTTGCTTAGATGTGATTGTCATCTTAAACTGGGTTGACTCCAAGTATTAAGTTTTAGATGTGAATTTCTGTCAAAGCTGTGGTTCATGATATTTTGCTAACAGACCATCACCCTCTCACCTTTGATCGGTGCTTATAATGTTTAAACGAAGCTTCATAACCCTGATTTCAGATTTAAAAAAAATTGTGGAAAAGTTGACGAATTAAATATGTTTATAATAAATAGGATGCAACTGAACAAATGAACAAAACCGTAAATAAACCGTTATGAGACTTGTGCAGACAGAGCATGATCGAGCCGCCAAACAAAACCTCAAATCGAGTTTTCCTCCTTTTGGATGCGTTTATAGCAGCTTCTTTAAGCTGCTCTATGTTTGTATAAACTTAGTTTTCTAAAGTCGAGCTTCATCAAATTATAACAATATGCATCTTCTTTATCATAAAAAAAACATGTTGCTTTCTGCTTAGGTTTGAGTTAATTGTCACTTGTATTGTAAAGATCTACAAATCAACATTGCTGCATGCATTTGATTGAAACTCGAGAACAATTTAATTGTAAGACGAATGTGTCAAAATGGGCATCGAGTTAGGTGAGCTCTTAAAAACTGAGGAACAGACACATGTAAGACAAACGGTAGCAGTCAAAAATAAAATCGGCAAACAAAAACTGTAGTAAATGAACAGAACTAGAGAGGAAAAAATCTTACAAAAGACTTAAAAGATGCAGCATATCTCTCTCGATCTCTATCTCGTGTGTGTGTGTGTATGTATGTATATATATATATAGATATATATATATCTATATATATCTATATCTATATCTATCTATCTATATAAAGTGTGTGGGTTTATTAAGTAATTTATTAACTGATTAAAATCCTTAAGTAGCCAACAGTACAGGTTAGATTATGTAAATGCAAATTTATATTGCTCTAAATCTTTGTATTTTCTGTACTTGCATCAATCTCAGTATTTAACTGAACAAGTATAAGGGAATCAGTTGTTTTTATTATATTCAAAACGATGAGTTTATTGAATATGTATTATTTAAATTGATAAAAACCCAAATAATATAACCTAAAGTGAAAAGTGTCTGATTCCATAATGAGAAATTTCAGTGTTAAGGCGTCATCTATTGGCAGAAGAGCAGAATTGCTCGTCGCCCATTCCCTGTGCGTGATGCGTACTCTCCTGCAGAGGTTTACGTCATGACGTCATCTTTATAAAGGAGGAAGCGAGCCCCGCCCCTCCTCCTGCAGTTTAGCATCATGGATTATTTTTCGTGTCTAAATCCAGATGTCGTTCAAACAACAGCCAGCATGTTGTCCGCGGCTTCCAGAGAAACTTTAGCTCCATTTAACGTCTAGTTATATGATTTATAAGGTAAGATATTTAATAAATATGAATACTGTTATGAAAGGTAATGAAATTCGTTCAAGACTGTTATCTCGTCTTAAATATTAATTTTTTTGCAACATACTCCTGTCACACTCATCTAGATTTGTTTTTAATATTCTACAAATTGTATGCTTTCATGTTCTTCACGAGCCCAAATTAATATATTTAAAGTAATTGAATAAATGCATTTGTGCAGGCTATTAAAAAGAGTACTTAAACATGAAATTTACCTATTATTATTTTATGTATTGCATGTTTTCTCGTCAAAAATGTCACCCGTGTAAATTAGATCTAGTCCAATCAAATATGCACCGTTTGGAATAATCATAGTAAAATTACACTTAAACACTTAAATGAACATTTACTTTCTTGCTTGCTTATTTTATTTATGTATTTGTGCATGTATTGTGAGGATTGTGGAAGAGGCATTTTTCAGTTCAGCATTCTCAAAATTGTATTAAATTATTCTTTTATAAGAAATATCATAATTAAAATAATGCACTAAAGATTGGTCATGTCAGAAAATGGTTGTCGCTTATTGCAACAGTAGAGTCAAATCAAATGTTGGTAATAAAGTCTAAAGCAGAATTATTTTTTGTGTTCTTAGAATATTTGCATCTATTTTAATTATGCTTTAGATAAACTGCCCTGATGAATAATAAATAGGTCAGCATTTCCACGTAGACTCACTTCAGACCACTTCCTGGTTAACATGTATATTTTCTCAGTCTGATATAAATCTGGAGTCCTCCACGTGCCACTCAGATGGTGTTTTACCCATTTTCGTTAGGAGCTGAAGATGAGGCGTCTGTCCAGAAGGAAAGCTCTGAGCTTGGTGAAGGAGCTGGACGCCTTTCCCAAGGTGTCGGAGAGCTACGTGGAGACGTCTGCGTCGGGAGGAACAGGTGAGACGTCCATCTGAAAAGTGACATCACAACGATCAGCTGGAGGAGTAACGCTCTCCCCGCACGTCTTTCTCTTCTACAGTGTCACTCATCGCTTTTAGTGCCATGGCGGTTCTGGCCGTCTTGGAGTTCTTTGTTTATCGAGATACCTGGATGAAATACGAATATGAAGTAGACAAGGATTTTTCCAGGTGAGCCATTATTAAAAAGCTGTTAAGTTATATAAATATTGCTTTTAGCATGATAAGTCAAGCGTTCTTCTCTTTATTGCAGTAAACTAAGAATAAATGTTGACTTCACAGTTGCGATGAAATGCCAGCGTGAGTATCTCGCCACCAGAAGTACCTCGTAAAAGCGAACTCGACATGTTTAAAACACGTCCGTGTCCTTGGTTGCAGATGTGGGAGCAGATATTCTGGACCTGGCAGAGACCATGATCACATCTAGTGGCCTGCAGTACCAACCTGTGAGTCTTAAACTTCAGAACAGTCCATTAAAAAGAGGATTTTACCATTTAAAGTGCGTCTCCTTGTGTGTTCGTTCAGGTTATTTTCGAGTTGACTCCACAGCAGAGGCTGTGGCAAAGGTAAGGGGAGTCTGTAAGTAGCACATGGAGCTGGGAGCCGTTTTGCTTCTTGACTTGTTGGTATCATTTCAGGACGTTGCATCTCGTACAGAGCAGGCTGAGGGAGGAGCACGCTCTGCAGGAGGTGCTGTACAAAACTCTGCTGAAAGGAGCTCCTACTGCTCTGCCACCACGGTCAGTCTTGTACACACACCACTGATTGTATTTTATTTTATTAACCAAACAAACTAGGGATGCACAATATCGGATTTTTGGCCGATATGTTAAAACGTATTTGGCCGATAACCGATACCAATACTGATATTTTTTCCTTAGACCTACTTACAGAGACGACATGGCTTCGTCTGCTGTGGAATTAAAATACTACATTATTCTGCACGATCTTTATCAATTTGGCATGCAACCAAATGCAGATGCCAAAAAGGGAGCTGAAAATGATGCAATACTTCAACTTGGTTTACGTTTAATGTCAAATTTTTTCATGACATTTACTCTAACACAATGACAACATTCGAACAGTGCAAATTTGTAAATTTTCACAAATTTAAACTCAACAGTGTGCGTGATGTCATAACGTGGTGGCGCTGCAGGCATCCTTGTCACTGGATTGTCATAAAAAAAGTGTATTTTTATATATATATATATATATATATAAATAAACAAACCGTACCTTTTATATCGGTGAGTTATTTTTGATGGAATGGTCGATGGCCGATATTTAACTTTATTGCTAATATCGGCTGACACCATGTCGATAATATCGTGCAACCCTAAAACAATTAACTATTCTACAAACCTTTCATCATGTAGTTGGTAAATTAAACCATTACAGTTCTAATAAGCCGTGAAATTTAAAGCTTATTGTGTTTTTCTTGTTTTTTTGCAGGGAAGATGCTTCTGCAGAGCCACTCGACGCCTGCAGGATTCATGGACACGTGTACGTCAACAAGGTGGCAGGAAACCTTCACGTCACAGTGGGAAAGTAAGAAACTATTTAGATTTAATGAAGATGGATGTAGCCTTGAGCTTACTTACTCCACTGGCTGTAATAGATATCAGCCTTCTGACGCTCATGTCTTTTTCAGGCCGTTTCACCATCCTCAGGGCCATGCGCATATCGCAGCTTTTGTAAGCCACGAGTGTAGGTGGAAAATAGTTTTTCTGACGATCATTTAATCTTTGAAAAACTTTTCGTAAAGCTGCAACATTACTTTCATTCAAATTCAAGTAAATGTTTCATAGTTAATTTAAAAAAAATTAGCCGATGGTCATTTTTCATTTTGATTTTCACTATGATTTTCCACACTGACTGAACCCGACCGTCACTGTTCTGCAGCGTACAACTTCTCCCACCGGATCGATCATTTATCCTTCGGTGAGGAGATACCGGGCATAATCAACCCTCTGGACGGCACAGAGAAGATCACCTACAACAGTAAGTCGCTTCAGTCCAGACTCAGATTTATTACGTGAATGTTTATGAAGCATTCACACTATTGTGATCCATTTTTCTTCCGTACGTTTTTCCAGCATCTTTCTCTTTCCACAATTTTTGTGCTATTTCAACAAATCATAAATCAAAACATTCAGCTCTTTCAGGACAATCCTGCTATGACTTTTGGTATTGGTGCAACTTTAGCTTTTTGAAATATTTAGTAATTTCTTACACTTTTGTTCTCTCATAGGAAATGAATTGAGCTCATTTTACATCCTTGAAATCTTTAGATCTGTTTACCTTTTACTGCTTCTTTCACATTTTGTTCTGGTTCAGCTTCTTTCAGCTTCCTTTTGGAAATTTAAATTTAATATTCAGCTACGTTCAGCTGTTTTGTGCTCCTTTCAGGTTCTTTCTGCTAACTAGAACATTTTTGTGCTTCTAACTTATTTCTGCAGGTTTCACCTTTTTCTACAATTTCAGCTACTATTTAGCTTTTATGATAATTTGAGCTTTTTCAGCTAATTCCACATTTTTTGCACTCATTTCAACTTTTTTTTCCCAGTCATTCAGCAAAAGTGTGCTATTCATTTTTGTAATTTCAACTTCTTTTTGCTTTAGTTACTTTTCAGCTGTTTTTTTTTCTTCCCTAATTTCAGCATTTTTCTGATAATTTCAACTTTTGTGCTTCAATATTTCTGCTTCTTTCAGCAAACATGCTTTTGCTTTCTTCAGCTTATTTAAGCTTGTTCTACCTTTTCAGCTACTTTAAAAAACTTTTAGCTAATTTCAGATAAATTCAAGTTTTTTCTGGTAATTTCTGCTACTTTCAGGCTTGTTAACTTCTTCCTGCAAATTTCAGCTTGTATTTCAGCTTTTTTCTGCGAGTTTCAACTACCTTTTAGCAGTTTTGTGCTAAATTTAGGGGTTTCAGCTAACTTCACATTTATTTTAACTCCTACTTCCTTCTGGTAGTTTAAGCTTTTTCTGCCTTTTTCAGCTATTTTAAACTAATTCCCTAATTTTTGTGCTCATTTCTGCTTATTTAAACCTAATTCAGCAAATATGTGTAACGTCTTCCATTTCAGCTAAATTTTAGCCTTTTTTTTTAGCTAATTTCAGCCTTTCAGCATGTTCTTTAGAAATAAGCTTTCACATGCAATTTCTCTAGTTTTTAAATCAGAACTTATCCATCAATCTCATCAACTCCAATAGATAATGTATCAGTCTTCCTGAAATCTGGTCTTACCCTAGTGTGTCATTCTTAGTTTGTTCACCTGCTGATTTACATTTTATTCTTTGCTCTCCTGCAGATAACCAGATGTACCAGTACTTCATCACAGTGGTGCCCACCAAACTTAACACGTACAAGATATCTGCAGACACACACCAGTTCTCTGTGACCGAAAGGGTGAGCGATCGTCACGGAGAACCGAAAAACCTCAGACTGCGATGGCTTATTGATCTTTGTCTTACCTGCTCTCAAAGGAGCGGGTGATAAACCACGCAGCAGGCAGCCACGGTGTTTCCGGCATCTTCGTCAAGTACGACACCAGCTCCCTGATGGTGACCGTGAGCGAGCAGCACATGCCGCTCTGGCAGTTCCTGGTGCGACTCTGCGGCATCATCGGAGGCATATTCTCCACCACAGGTGAGTCTACTTGATGCACATCCAGTTCTCTTTTGAACAAGACAGAAAAACATTGCTCTGCAACCTAACAGACATGATCTATGTTGTTGAAGGGATGCTTCACGGCTTCGTGGGCTTCTGTTTTGATATCATCTGCTGTCGCTTCAAAATTGGAGTGTACAGGCCCAGAGAGGTGAGACCTTTGTTCTTTGAGGAACACTCCCCCTCCACCTATCAACGCTCGTTTTGTTTTTTCTTTGAAAGCCATCGTCTTCAAAACTGAACCCACTGAATCCGTTTCAGGATGTGCAGCTACACCACCAGATGAATAATCTGGCCAATCACCAAACGCCTCTTCTGGGAGAAAACGCCCTTCTGGAGTAGCAGCGTCATGCCGATCATTGTCAAAGTGTTAAAGTTTGTTAATAAAATTCCCTCCTCGCTGTGGGACACGTTTATTCTAATCTCTCGTGTCCATTATGTTTCAATGCACCCAGAACTGGACACACTTGAGATAGGATAGCTGTTCTGTACATAAATACTAAAAAGTTAAAGATTCTTGTGATTTCATAAACAATGCATACAACTAAACTTCATTTGACATCACTGAGGCTACTTTAACGCAATCACCGGGTGTCACTTTTCAAGCAAACATGGACGTTTTTTGCTCATTTGTAAAGTTCTTTGTCCCTTTAATAATTTAGACTGCTCAAATTATCTCGACTTTATTCCAAAAAGGTGATAAAGCAACATTTCAAATTAGCGTTCAGACGCAGGACAGATTAATGTACAGCTAAACTATTCTATATTTATCATACTTTGGTGGAGTCCTTAGGCCCTGTTCAGAAATATAAATCTATACCCGTCCTAGAGGATTTAATTGCAGAGCATTCACACCGTGCAGTAAAATCTGAAGGGGCGTTTAATCTTTTACATGAACACAGTTTTAAGTCCCACTTTGTCAAGTTATGTCTTGATGAGCTTCATTATGCAACAGACGTGACATGAGAAATGCAAAACTAAAGTTCTTAACCTATAAAAATCCACTGCAGTGAAATGATGCACTCATTGCCATTTTACACAACTGCACTGTGCACGTCATCAGGTGGTTGTAATTTGACAACGTTCCACAAACCCGTTCTGTGACTGACAGCACATTAGAGCTTCAAGTAACCACAGTGGGTCCAACAGATTTAAAACAATCAGAATAACATCAAACTAAAGAGAAACTAAATGTAATCCACTCAGATTAATGACATTCTGACGAGACAAAAAAATCGATTGAGGATTCGGATTTCTACTTTAAATTTTTAACAGGAAAAAAAAAAGACATTCTGAAGAATGGCCATTTATCTTTAAAATACCTGCAGCTGAGCAATTGTTATTTTGAGACATCCAGGTTATAACAGCAGTGGGGTCACACCAGTTAAGTAGAAGGTCCTACAACTGGGCTCAGGCCGGATTGTGTTCAGACCATCTGATAAATTTTGGTAAGGGGTCCAGAACAACGTTTCCAATGCACTGGTGAAATTCATGCACGTTAGACGAACTATCCGAATGCAACCTGATAGCCAACAGGTTAAAATACCACAGCTGGACAGGGTCTCGGACCTGCCTTTGGCTCTGTCCACATGTGATTAGATCACCCAGCCTAACTGCCATATGGTCAAATACATAAATACTGCAAGAAAAAAGTGAAATAAACCAGAAAAAGTTAAATCTCTTTCAAAAACACTTGGCGCCATGCTTTTGAAAGGCACATCTGTAAAGCAGGGTAGTCCTGAAACCATGATAATCCGCTGAAAAGGAAATCCGTTTTACTGTATAACAGACGGCAGCACAGTTGCAATTTTTACGTTGTTTATTTCAGTTTTGCCAAGCAGACAGTTTTGTCAGAGCAGGGAAAACAGGTGGACAAACAATTTGCAAAACGGCACCATTACAAAGATGTCCTTGGTTAAGCGTCGCCATACGCTCCCTCACTGGGTTTATACCTACAGGATTCTGCATTTAGCCAGGAAAGACAGGGATCTGTTACCAGACAGACAGAAGAGCAAATCTCCACATGAACGACAGCATTAAAATAGCCCTGTTAGCTCTTTGAGGACATCTTGACAAAACTGCTTCATCATTCAGGCCTTGGACAAACGGTTACACCACACATGGCTTTTGCATAAACATTTAAATTTTGTCCCTTTTTCTTCCTTCAAAGGCTCGTGTTTATTTAGTCAAACCTCAATACCGCAGTTATCTTCTTTTGTTTTGTAAAAAAAATCTGACTTGCCTGAATACTTTTGGTAGACAGAGGGAAGATCTGTGGAGAAAAAAAAAAAAAAAAAAAAAAAAGGTGGGGAGGGGACCCTAAACAGTCAAAATACAACTTTTTGTAGCTAAAGAATCACAGAACTGAGGTGAAGGATGCCAAACAGATTTAAAGCATGGTTCTAATTCCTTACCTTACATGGATTTAATGAATAAAAATTGCACAATTTTTCTCCATTCTGTAAAGGCTGGCATTCCTCATGGCTCTGTGCTTGGTCCTTTAGATTTTTATTTTCATTTGCCTTAAGTTGCCTCGTTTGCAACATTTATAAAATTTAATCTGATAAATACTTAGTCTTTTTTACCAGTAGCTTTTTTTCTTTTCCTACAAAAGGGGATGGTTTTTAAAGTGCCTCTCCTAAAACGCCTTCCCTGCTTTAACACGTGCCTTGTTCTCCAGAGACCCTGTTTGCACCTGATCAAGTCAAAATGGTAACCATCTACTATTCTAGCATCTTCCACTGAATCACTTTACAGCACTTGATACTTTTTTGTGTTTTTTTTTTACATTTTGATGAACAAAGGCATTTCCTGTTTGTTCAGTTTTTCTTAGCTGCCAAGTTCCCATTTATTTTTAAGATTCTGAAATAGAAATTGGTCTTTTAAACTTGTAACTATTCTTGACTCTAGAAAAACTTGACTTAAATGTAGCCAATGGTTACAAACATGACTTGACCTCAACTACTTGTTCCAAGCTTGGTCCTCAACTATGAACATTAAAACGATATAAATCAATGGTTTTGGACAAGAAAAGCCACCCCATTCCATTTATTTACTTTCCAAGTTTGGCTCACTTCATTAGCATTTAATGCATCTTAATCTGTTATTTGGCATTTATAACTACTGCAAGTTCTCCCACCTATTTCACCCCTGGATAGAACTCAACTCAAGTTTTAGGAACTTTTTAAAGAATATAGTACAGTATGTATGAAGTTATATAAATAAATCTGACTTTTATGTACTTTTATTTATAGATACTACACTGCCAAGGTCTAACACTTAACAGACTAGCCTTTGACGCAAGTATAAAGATGTAAAAGTAGTAAACTTAGTTCAGTACAAACTGCTGTACAAACAGGCATAAAGTAGATGAGCGACCAGACAAAGGTTTATATTCAAAGACGTAACGACATTATTAATGAGATCATAAATTAGTGACAACCACAATGGAAAAGGTGGCAGATGTCTGTGGTTTCGTCTTGTGTGGCCAAATTTTAGTTTCAACACTCGTAAGAATAATTTACGAATTGGCCTTGAGAGTGAGAATCAGCGAGGGTCGTCTTAAAAAGGCAGTAGAAGCACATATTGAAAGACAGATCTAAATCACCATCATGTAGAAGTGAAGCTTCTTGCTGTTTCCAAAAAAGTATAGAAATTGTTCAATGACACATTTCAAGTATGGGAGAGAGAGAGAGACAAATAGGCAAGGCAATGTAATGAGATTCAGTGAGGTGGAAAAGAAAGGAGGTCACACTAAAAGGCGTATTGTTGCATATATAATTGGCCACTTTGAAGAAAAACAGTGGGTACAAGATGAACGACGCCACTTCCTTGGATGGGTTTGCCGACTGACGAAGTGTAGGTGACAGATTTCCAAACCAGAACAATTTCATGGCTAGTAGACCTCTTCATTTCTTCTCCTGGGTGCCTCACTCAGCTGCAGCCCCCTCTTATAGAGAGCCCTGTTTGTCCACACGGAGAGTTTCTGAGTCTCAGACGCTAAAGGCGAGGGCTAACGTCACTCTGGCTTGAGGCTGAGAGGAAGACTCAGTTGGTTAAGGTGCTGGATGCGCGGAAGTAGGAGAGGAACTTGAAACAGAGGCTGACCACGAAGTACCAGATGTTTCTGGCCATCTGTGAGCGAGCGATGAACACCCGCCAGATGAAAACGACTAACAGTGTGTTGAAGGTGTAGCGGATGTTCCTCAGCCTGAGAAACAACAAAATAAACGCTCTAAAAAAACACACTTATACAGATATAATATTCACTTTAGACTTCTAAACTTCATGTTAGCTGCATGCAAACATTAGAGCATCTCTGGTAAAGATTTTAACCCAGTGATCTGATCATCATGAAGAACATTAAGTAGATACACTTTCAGCAAGAATGTTATATTGAACAATCTTCAGATGATGACCGTGCAGAAGTTTGAGCACCTCAACATATTTGATCTATTTAGATGCTTTTTGTTGCCCTGAAGATCTTAGACTTCAATAGCTGCAATGGTTCTGGCTTAATAACATCCATCTTTAGCAAAGAGCAGCTGATGCAGTTCTTCTTAGTCAGTTTTCTTCAGATAGATTACCTTGTTCTTATTCTTACAATGGCCAACTGGAAACACTTGACGCCCAACTAAAACCTAAGTTTACCTTCTTTTCATTGCAATGGGTGATAAAGGCCAAATGTCTGACAATATTGTCAAAAGCAATGAGTTGATTTTATTTTATGCGCCATTTCATTTTAATGCCAGAACTGGGATACTTGCTTCTAAAACTTGAGGAACTTTTTCTTTACGTTGCCCTTTTTTTTTTGTCAACTTACTTCCTCAGATGCTGCCTGGCAGCAGGAATGTCGGACATGTCTTCGTTCAGGACGTACTTCTTGGTGCCGATGCAGTAATTCTCAATGTATTCGGGCCAGTTTAGCTGGCGCACATCGAAGTTAAACATCTGAGGAAAAACAAACACCACGGGGGCCCGTTAATGCAAAGACAATAATAATAATAATAATAAATAAAAAAAAAGAGACTTCAGTAGAGACTATTGCACAAAATACACCTTATTCTCCTTTAAACCTTATTAGCATCAAAAAAAGAACAAAATCTTCCAATTCCTATTATCCTAAATTACAGCTACATTTAGATGAACACTTACGTTTAAATAAATAATGTGCATTCAAAATTAATGCAGCACTATCCATAAAAATGTATCAAAACTCTTGTCGTTATACATTACTGAAACATAATCACCCATATTGATTAGAAGCAGATGTATAATGCCTTTAATCAACTTGGAAACCATTTCAACACGGTGGCTAATTAAATTAAAGTCATTGTGATGTTAATCTATAAAGGCTCACAGAGACATTAAGTATTTATGCAGCTGGCAGCGTGCAGACAGATACATGGATAATCCCACCTTCCTGTCCTCTGGAGTCAGCTGGCTCATCAGCATGCTCATGTTCTCAGAGTTCCACTCCCAGTCCTGGCTGCTGAAGTACTCCAGCAGGCTGATGGCCTTGTGCAGGCGATTGAAGATGCGCATCATCCTGCAGGAGGAGAAGCGTGCACTTTACAGATGGTCTTTTGTTCCTATAAGATTTCAGCAGATAGCTGCAGGTCTTACTGCGGCTTCTGTCCAGATAGGCGGAGGAAGAGGTCGTAGATGAAGGCTGGGAACTTGTGGCTGACCAGGATCCAGTACTGGTTGATCAAGTAATTGGACGTTATGTTGGCGTTGGGCCTGCGGAAGGCCTGCTCCAGGGGGTTCCTCTTGAAGGACGATATCACATGGTGCTCTGTTCAGCAACACAGAGTAGGTTAATAAAAAGGGTAGATGACAAACACGTTAGTTACAGATGATCACAGCTCCAATCAGGCAAACAATTTATTTAACTGCATGATGCTACCATAAAACAAACATAGGAACATGCTCTCTAAAGTACTCTACAAAGCTAGGCTGATCAGAAAAACATGCAGAGGTTTGAGGACATGCCTGTTTGAGTCCATTCAGCTGTGTGAAAAAGACAAGTGGTGCATGTAGGGCAAGCAATTGAGTCATGGAATTAGTGCTTTGAAAAGCAATAAGGCAAGCCATTTGTGTATTTATTAATATTAAATGTATTTTTCCCCACTTAGCCTGTTGAGCATTTATAATTTTTTAAAGATTCTCCACGCTGGGAATGCTTCACGCGTCTCATTTCTGTAATTCTTTAAATTTTGCATCAAGTACGGGTCAAATCACTTGCTTTGTTTTCATCTCTACGTCTGGGAAAGTTATTGCCTAAAACACACGTGCTTTACATTTTGTTTCTTTGTCCTGTTAAACACTGAGTAAGGCTCACAGTTATACACTCGTACAGGGAAAAAAGAAACATCCAGATTAGGCTAGCATAATAAAAATAAACAGTTATTGCATTAGAAATACTGTAAACAAACTTTTTGCCAAATATATAATCAGCACACAGAGATGACTGAGGCTCAAATGATAAAGAACATAGAGTATTGTGAGAGTTGTGGCGGTGAGAACAAAAAGGAGTGGAAAAAACAAGTTTGTAGTTATTGACTCAACAACAATACTGTAAATGTCTACTTTCCTAACAGTTTCTAAAAAAAATTAAGTCAGCGCTGAAAGTGAGGATTTCCCGCAGACGAGTAAACACAGATTGGAGGATTTTATGCACGGATCATAACTTCCAGGAATCACAGCGTTTCGGGCAGAGAGCAGCCACTCGGTGATGTCTCCCCCCCTCCTCCCTGCTGCAATCCAACAGATGCAGCCATGACTCTGCAGACGTTACATCACAGGCAGCACGCAAACTAGGCCTTGTAAGGTTTGTTTCCATGGTAACAGATATGTGGCAGTTGCAGGGGTTGGGATGACCTGATCTGAGGCGACAGCCTGGTTGGATGGGAGTACCGCCGCTAACCTTCAGCTCCTACACACAAAACCTGTCGCAGCTGAAATGATAACCGGAGTAAGCAACTTTATTTTCCTCCTCCACTTGCTTTTTAAGCCTCATTCAGGTAGCAGCTTCATCCTAATACTAGGCATCCGTTGTCATCCATTGATCGAACATCTGGACCAGGGAGACTGCGCTCATGACACAAAGCTGCAGTGATGAGACCTAATCCTGCCACAAACCATCTGCTCGCAATTTCCGTAGTGAAGGGTGCATGTTGGGTAATCTGGGGTCTCTTGACATCCGTCCATTCAGAAGGAAACATCAAGTGTCACGCAGTCGTTACACGTCGATCACAACCTCTTTGTAAGAACTGGACCAACAACAGTTTGTATAAAATGAAGAAAATAATCAGGATGATGAGATTAAACGTAAGAATTTAGTAAATTCTGCACATTTTTAGGTTTGAGACTTTAAACAATTAGTCATTTCTATTATTGTAGTTAAAATATTAAGATGCACATTTAAAAAAAAAAAAAAAAAGGCTATCATTTATATAATACATTAACTACATAATAATAAAATATTTTTCCTGATAGACCTAGATCCTAATACGTTGGACTGGTCATTTTTAACAAGCATTTTTTTAAATGCACTGAATGACGATACAGAGTGATACTAGCTTTACTTATACACGTTAAAATTTAACTTGTCTGGCTGCTGGCTGGTTAAGAAAGCTGTCTACTATATATATATATATATATATATAT